TGCATTTTACATAAAAGGACACATTCTACTCATGTAAAAACACCAGGCAGGCCCCACAAATAACCCAGAGATTCATTTTAAATAAAAGTACACTTTCTACTCATGTAAAAAAACACTGATTCCTGGACCGTCCACGGGCTGGACTGAGAAGGCGATTGGGCCAGATCCGGCCCCCGGGCCTTAGTTTGCCTACCCATGGAGTAAACCTTCATGGGATTGGTCTTGAGTTTTTTATAGGATTAAATTCACTATTTTCTCTTTGAGCGCCTGGGCTTTGACCTGTATCTCAATACTGTGCAAGCAGAGTTCTGCTTGTATAAAAGGACTTCCCTCTCTTCTACTCTCCCTGTGCCCCCAATCTTCTCCAGAGGGTTCCCCAAACCTCTGGAGAATATTTTGAGAGTGCATGGCAGGCTGCAGGAAAAGAGAGGGGAGTTGTACAGGAGAGTGACCAGAACAGCAGCATTGGATTCAACCTTTACTCTTGAATGTGGAAATTAGGGGGGTACCATTTAAAGCAGTTTCATTACTGGTATTTATGCCTTGGTTGAGTATACAATAAAAGTTTTTTTAAAAAAGCAGCACCCTGTTCTTGAAATAGCTGCTACGACATAGCCATGTAGCCTTGCCAGTCCTCTGTCTGCTAACAAATGTTTACAGTGCTGGAAAATGGTTTCTGGCATTATGACCAGAGTTGTAGAATATGGAACAGATGAAGATAAATGTGAGAGCCGGGCAGTAACACAGACTCGGCAGATGTGTGCAGAAAGTAATGGTGTGGTGGCAACAAGAGCTTCAGATGTGTCACAGTTAATTCATCTTCAAACCAGATTGTAGCGCTCCAAATGTTTTGAGCAGCATGGAGGGGAAAGTAACAATCTTGCTCTGCCCCCAGAGGACAAGTGCATCAGAAATTTTGCAAATTGTGTCTGGAAAGGTTAAATAAGTTACTTTTTAAAAAAACAAAAATAAAGATTATCAGGTTTTGTGGCTTGAGCTTTCAAGGGACAGCAGACTGTTGCAGAATCATAACATATTATGAAAATATAATCACTCTGTATATTGTTTTTCTCCAATCTAGCAGCAATAGTTGAGTAAAATGCTACTGTTGTATACCCGAGCCTCTATACAATTAAAAAAACAACACTGTAAGCACTCAGCTTCAGAGTTTTAAAGTGGAGCTGAGTGCCTTCCATCAGCTTGGGATGGTGGCCCTATTGTGCCCTATGTTGCCTATGTTCTGTTAGCCTCTAGGTTAGACTACTGCAATGTGTTATACATAGGGCTGCCTCTGATGAGTGTTCAAAAGCTTCAGCTGGTACAAAATTCAGTGGCCAGGTTGCTCACGGGGGCAAGACGGTTTGAGCATATTGCACTAATCCTGGCCCCCCTTCACTGGTTGCCAGCTAGTTTCTGGGGCCAATTCAAATGTGTTTGTGGGAGATGGGGGAGGGTATTGATTTATTAATTTATTAATTTGTTTTTATCTTGTATTTTTATGTTGTGACCTGCCCTGAGATCTACGAATGAAGGGTGGCATACAAATTTAATAAATAAAAATTCAAGTATGTAATTTTTCTTTAAAAAAAACCTTTTAAAAGGAGAAAGCACTGAAAAAGCCCCATCTTATTTTAGCAGGTAAACTGACCCAGGCACTTGAGGAAGAATAAATACTTCAAAGCAGACAGCCTTGCATAAAGAATAACAGAAGAAAGGAGAAATGAACAAATAAAGAGACAACCTGGATAGGCAGAGCAGCCACCGAGACCACATAACACCTGTCTTAAAAGATCTACATTGGCTCCCAGTACATTCCTGAGCACAATTCAAAGTGTTGGTGCTGATCTTTAAAGCCCTAAATGGCCTCGGTCCTGTATACCTGAAGGAGCATCTCCACCCCAGTCGTTCTACCCGGACACTGAGGTCCAGCTCCAAGGGCCTTCTGGCATTTCCCTCACTGCGAGAAGCCAAGTTACAGGGAACCAGGCAGAGGGCTTTCTCAGTAGTGGCACCCGCCCTGTGGAACGCCCTCCCACCAGATGTCAAAGAGAACAGCAACTACCAGACTTTTAGAAGCCATCTGAAGGCAGCCCTGTTTAGGGAAGCTTTTAATGTTTGATGCATTACTGCATTTTAATATTTTGTTGGAAGCCACCCAGAGTGGCTGGGGAAGCCCAGCCAGGTGGGTGGGGTATAAATAATAAATTATTATTATTATTATTATTTATTAGCCAAACCCCCATGATGTTGGAGTAATAGCAGAAGCATCACCTTGTTGGCACCAACCCTGCCCCTTCTGCCCACTGGAAATATTCAGGAAAAACCACTGGAATGAGTCAGCAAAAAAGCTGAGCCGGCCTAGTATCGACCAGATCATGAGTTGGTTTCAATGCATGATGGCGTTGGGCTGAGTCATTCTCTCTCTGCCTTCCACTGCAACTGCTGTGAGCAGGAGAGCTGCAGATGTGATGGCTGCCTTGTCACTCCACAAAGACACCCAAGTGGGAGTGGGGTTTGGCTTTCCCCCTCGATCCTCAGGTTTTGCATGCCTTTGCAGGTGGGAGCAGAACTCAAATCTGCAGCCAAATCCCCCCTTTTTTTGCAACCCCCATCCCTGAAGTTTTGCAGCCTGCTGTGCAGCTAGAGGGTTTCTTTTCACTTGAGGATAAAATGGCTTCTTAAGCAGCTTTCACCCAGCACAACTTATAAAAAGCAGTGCTTGCTCCGATTATTGGTTTTCAAACTTGTGATGGATGAAGCTGCTTATAGTCTACTTTGCTCTTGGTATTAGGTGATGAGGCAGCTTCCAAGCCACTTGAAGGGAAATCATTTACCAGAGACCCTAGCAGGATGAGTAGGCACAGAACAGCAAGGGCAGAAGTATTCTGCCATTCCACCTTTAGTTCCCCGAAAACTCTAAAATCTGGATTCCGCCTCATCTCTGTTGACGTTGTCTCAACCTACAAAACCACACAAAGAAGACATTCATCACTTCTGTGTGTTTGTCTAAGTGAAGGAGCCATAGAAATGTCTGCTGGTTTTAAGTTATTGGTCCAGAAGCTGTGAAGTACTGTTGCGTAAACAGGAATGCAAAGAAGCAGGCCAACACTAATGGAGAGTCTAAGAAAACAGGAAGAACATATCTTTCCCTGTTAGCTAGCTCAGTCACTGGGTACAGAGCATAATGAATATAGATGTTATTTGTGAACCGTACGCAAGGCAGGATGGGGGTGGGGAGAAATGCAGAACAAATAGCAGCCTTAGTTTCTGACGAAGAGTAAAGTTTTGAGTAAACAGGTGCATGTAATATCAAGCAAAAGATCTCGGTGGTGGTTTCTTTTACAGTGTTATGCTAATCATCTTTCCACTGGGTGACAAAATTCTTCTAAAGGAACGAAGATAGAAATGACTTGGAGGAAACATCAAAGTTGCAATTCTTCTTCCAAAAGGCCAAAGATTGGGGTGGGTTGTGTGTATGTCTTAGTTTTGTAGTTGTTGTTGTCCAAACTAGCACTTCTTTACAACTTACTGCAAAAAATATTACAAGTGAACATTCTGATTTGTCTCTTTAGGGGGTGTGCTCACACGGCCATAAAATGCTAAAACAGCGCTGGGTGTGTGTGAGGGGAATGGAAGCCCATTTGAGAAAATACAGGGGTGCCATTGTTTTAGGACAGAATGTTTGATTCTCAGGAATAAATAAGTAAGCAAATGGCAGAGAAACAGGTGCAGCACTTCTCTTGCAAGAGAAATTAAGCCAAGGATAAGATAAGGCCAGGGGCGAAGACTTGTCCTCCACATTGAGGGGGCGTGGTCACGTGACATGTCAGGTGATGCCACTGGCATGCGCCAAGTGATGGTGGTGGGATGCGAGGAGCGTGATCTCCATGCTTGCTCTTCCCTGCCGCAGCCCAGCTCCTGAGCTCCCAGGCTGCCACTGTGATGAGCAAGCATGGAGATTGCCCTCCATGCTTGTCCCAGCTGCCGCCTGGCTCTGGGGTGCATAGAGGGTGCCTGGTGGCAGCAGGGGTGGCGGCCCCCTCAATATTGGGGGAAGCACTGCCCCCCTGCCCCCAAATATTGGGGGAGCTGAAGCCCCTTCAGCCCCATGTACCTGGTGCATAGATAATGATGCAGACTCAGATAACACCTAGAACTGAAAACGCAAAATATGATGCAAATATAGCTGATTGAAACACTCTGTTTAACTTTACAGTGGCACCTCGGGTTAAGTACTTAATTCGTTCCGGAGGTCCGTACTTAACCTGAAACTGTTCTTAACCTGAAGCACCACTTTAGCTAATGGGGCCTCCTGCTGCTGCCGCGCCGCTGGAGCACAATTTCTGTTCTCATCCTGAAGCAAAGTTCTTAACCTGAAGCACTATTTCTGGGTTAGCTGAGTCTGTAACCTGAAACTGTTCTTAACCTGAAGCGTATGTAACCCGAGGTACCACTGTAATTGAAAGGTTTCTTAAATATTGTACTCTTTGTGCCCCTCTAGGAGGAAACGCACACAGTTCAGCATCACGAACAAACTTTGCTCATCCCTAACTCTAAATCCTTAATAAGTTAAAAAGCACTGGTTCCAATAAGTGATCCTTGGGGAACTCATTCCTCCAGCGGAGAGCTATCCATTTATTCTTACTCTCTGCTTCCTGTTTCTTAATCGGTTGCTATCTCATGACACAAGTGGTCTACAGCAATATCCAGAAGCAAAATTTTTATTTCCAGCAAGAACAGAGAAATAGTGCCTGTGTAGTGTATGTGCCAAAATATACTTGTCTCCTTCATCTGCAAGAAATTAAGAAACATTAAATGCACCCTGAAATCTGTTGTTCATCATTCTGCCTAAACACACACACACACACACACACACACACACACATTCCTTTAAGATGAGAACATGAATGAGCATCTGCTTGCAATCATATTTCTTTCCCTTTTGAAATGCTGTCCTGCTGCCTGTGCAGAAATGCGATTCTTCCAAATTCATCCACAAAGTGCTTTGTGGAGCTTTTTCTGCAAAGGGTTGGATTTCTGCAAAATGGAATAAATATGTCCTTCATACATTGGTCCTAGTGTTTTTTTAAAAAATGTAATACTCTCCACTCCCCCATTACCCAGTTTCTTATTTCTTTCAGAAGTCCAAGGTGTCCTTCAAAAAAGAGTCACTTTTTCTGGCCAAGCACGAAGGCAGGAAGCCGATTACTGGAAAGGTAATTTTATTAAATAAGAGTATGTGTTTACTATAGGAATGGGATTTTAAAAAACAACAACAACAATTTGAATTTAGATAGAGAAAGAGAAAAATTGACTGCTTTATATTATTGTACCGAAAGGTCAAATGCAGGCTGATTGTAGGAACTGTGGTTTAAATGTCGTGGACTTGCTTGTAGTATTTTATTTGCTCTGGAAAATATAGCTTGTGACAGAGGTTTCTTTTAGTTCATTCTGTATACATTATCTGCAATCCTCCCCCTACTCGCATAACATTTGCCCTATTCAATGTGATTTTACTCCAAAACTGCTCTAGCTCCTTCATATCTAGAGAAGCCTCTGAACAGGAGCTAGAAATTATATAGCAGCAAAATTAACTCATTTTAAATAGCTGAAAAACTGTTCACTATTATTATGTAATCTAAATATGAAGCACCTTATTGAGTAGCATTGTTTACATTAGTAACTGAAGACTTTTCTTGGGCCCAATCCAAAGGACCTTGCTTAATTAAAGGCTGCAGTCCTATACACACAGTGGTAAGAGTTGCGGAACATTATCCAAGGCAATTCCAAATAAATATGCATAGGATTCTGCATGATTGAAAAAACTTTTTTTGCTGCTCTCCTTAACTTTAGTGGGGGTTTCACGAGTTCTGTGTACCTTTTATCTGATATCAGTTGTAGGTGTAAATACACTTTTTAATCTTTAAGGGCTGATACTGTGTTGGTTTTTTAAAAATTCTCCTCAGATGCCAGACAGGTTCCCACAACAACAAATCATTCCTCTTTAGGAAGACATTTTGGACATAAGTGGTTGCTCTCTTTTTTCAATGGTTGTGCTAGATTCTTATGCACACTTTACCGTTCCCATACTGCAGGGTCTTAATATCCAATAATTTTTCCTCAGATTCACATTTAATTTGTTTCTGGAAAGGTAGAAAAAAACCCTTTTTACATGCGGCATTTACTGATGAACAAAAATGTGATATGGTTGGATTGATTTTAAGCTTCGTTTAATCTGATTTTGTGGTCCAAGCTAAAAGTAAAATTTAAAAACTGTCTAAACCAAAAAGGAAGGGAGGAAGGGAGGGAGAGGAAAAGCAGAACTAGACAATGCAGCTAATGAAGATTTGCATGTGGTTTAGATACTCTCTTAACGCTGTTTATTTTAAGCGAAATAGTTATTCACCCTTAACATTAGCACTGTTTAGCTATGCTTGTGTTTGGAATTCTGCACAGTCAGTTAGTGTATCTGGGAAAAAGCAGATTTTTAGTAAACAATTAAGGGCCTCTTTGGACTACTGTAATCTGTTTCAGCAGGGTGTGTGTGTGTGTGTGTGTGTGTGTGTGAGAGAGAGAGAGAGAGAGAGAGAGAGAGAGAGAGAGAGAGAGGAGAGACTACTGTACCTTACTAGCCTAAGGCTCAAGGGGTAAACTTTTGTTCTTGAGAAATGTTTCTTTCACAGACTAAATTCTAGAGGACACATTCATCTTGCTAGAAACTTGACTTACCACAGGGTTGAAGAAATTCCGATGAAAATCCTCACTATTACATATTTTACATGGCTGTTTATGTGTATATGTTTTAAAATTATACATTTGGATGTTTCATGGTGGCCTATACTTGTAATGCCTAGTAAAGGTTTGGCGAAGTAAGTAAGACTTACCACAGGGAAGGACAAAAGGCTGACTGAGGTACACTGGAGAAACCACAAATAAACAGAGTTGGCAATATCCTGTGCCTTTTGCAGTGAGGCTCTGAAGGTCTCTTCTGCCAGTGTGTGGCTCTGGTTGCCTGTCACATCCTCTAACCTCCTCCTTTTACCTGCTTGTGAAAAGTTGCTTTCTTTCCCAGGTGAGTCTTCAGGCTTCCTGCTCAGAGAGCAATGTAGGCGCTGTATCCTCCCTTTTCTGTGTTGTGCTCATGAGGAACACGAGAGGATTCAAATTCCTGTCTGGATATGCCAGGGAACTGGTAGGATCGAGCTTCTTGATGCCCCTACCACTGGCTGATGGAGGGGGGACATTGCTGTTACCTTGAGCACTGTGAGTGCAAAGGTGCAAAGCTGTGCTGGGCACGATGAGGTTGTTAGCTCCTTCAGGCACAGTCCTTGATTGGTAGGCTTTATTTTTAAGGCTGCAGGGAGCATGCTTGCCATTTTGTTGTTGTTGTTGTTGTTGTGTATGCTCCCCCTCCCGCCTCAAGTTGAGCACACAAGGGCTGAACTTCCCTCAGGAGGAGTTCAAATCCCCCTATGCTGAAAAGTGTGGGTGCTCTGTTATCCAACAGGGTACCTGGGGACAGCATCATGGAGAAAGCTTTGTGCAGATCAGTTACAAAGCCATATGATTTTGTGTATACGCAAAATACCGGGTCAGTGCACAAACGTGCCCTGATGCTTCTCATTTTTTACAAAATCATCTTTGAACTTCTCATACTACAAGAGAAAAGTCTCTCAAAGCCATTTTTACAAAATCATCTTTGAACTTCTCTTACACTGTTGAAATGCCCTTACTGTAAAGGTAAAGGGACCCCTGAACATTAGGTCCAGTCGCAGATGACTCTGAGTTTGCAGCGCTCATCTCGCTTTACTGGCCAAAGGAGCCGGCGTACAGCTTCCGGGTCATGTGGCCAGCATGACTAAGCCGCTTCAGGTGAACCAGAGCAGCGCATGGAAACGCCATTTACCTTCCCGCCAGAGCGGTACCTATTTATCCACTTGCACTTTGACATGCTTTCGAACTGCTAGGCTAGCAGGAACAGGGACCGAGCAATGGGATCTCACCCTGTCGCGGGGATTCGAACCGCCGACCTTCTGATCGGCAAGCCCTAGGCTCTGTGGTTTAACCCACAGCGCGACCCGTGTCCCGATCTTACTGTACCTCCATCCAAAAGAGAAGAGCTGTAGGGCCGCCATCTGCTCTGCTGAGAAGCTAGGCTCCTCCTTCCACCTCCTGGCATCACATCAGTCTGTAATAAAAAAAGAAAAAGTTTGCAGAGCCATTCTGTCAATTTAGCTGGGAGGCCACCAGCTTCTGGCTCCTCCTCCTCCCTCCTCCTGAACTCCTCCGCCCCCAACTGTTCACTAGAAGAATTTGCAAGGAAAAATACTTCCTGCTCCCTCCCAAGCCAATCATTTCTTGCTGCTGCATCTTTTTAGATTTCAAACCTGAGGGAAGGGTGGTCTGCAAGGCTTTTTGGGTGAAGATTGAGATCACTTGGTTGTTGTTTTTAAAATCATTTCATTTGCACAAAGATTCTTTGCACATGTCAAAAAGGATGAAAACTAAGTCGAATGTCCTACCAGAGAAATCCCCCCCCCCTCCAACATGGTTCACAGTATAAATGATCAGTGATTTTTTAAAAAAGCATTAAAAAAAACAACGAGTCTTCTTACCGGAACATTTCAGTATCTAATATGTAAAGTCTATCCAAATTGCTCATATAGTGGCCTCTTGGGTACCGCAGTTTTACTCTATATTAATGTGGTGTTCATGGCAGAGAATGAGTGCTTTGTACTTGCCCAGCTTTCTGCTCACAGAGAGGATTTTTGCCCCCAATTTACAAAGTGATTACCCACACCAAATTACACTGTCACACATGCTGTCACATACTTGATACGAAAATATGTGCTAATCAGCAGCAGAAGATACTTCTGCAAAAGCATTCATGTTTCAGAATGCTCAATTGGGGGGAGGGGGGAGAGAAGTAATCTCCTCTGACAGCTTCTCTTCACATCATCACCATGCAGTTAACTGGTGCTGAATCTTTGAACGCTGAATAAACTCCCCTGCTGCAACTCTGTTCTGTGGCATTCCTTTCTGCATCCGCATCAGGACAAGAGTCAGAGACGGGAATGAAATGGGAAGCGCTTAAGTGTAGGCAAAGCTATCATTTTCCGGACAATTACCCTAGTCTGGTCCTACCTTGCTTTGTGTATTAGATCCAAAACTTAATGCAGCTTCACAAATGCTTTATTAAGTAGAGGCTTCCATTTATCAGGGGAGAATGCATCCTAAGGGAAACATGCTTGCAGAACTGAAGGGTTTTAAAGATAATTAGAATGAGGCTATAGTATCTAGTCTGACGCGGGTGGGGCTGTGGGTTAAACCACAGAGCCTAGGACTTGCTGATCAGAAGGTCGGCGGTTCAAATCCCGGCGCCGGGGTGAGCTCCCGTTGCTTGGTCCCTGCTCCTGCCAACCTAGCAGTTCCAAAGCACATCAAAGTGCAAGTAGATAAATAGGTACCGCTCTGGCGGGAAGGTAAACGGCGTTTCCGTGCGCTGCTCTGGTTCGCCAGAAGCAGCTTTGTCATGCTAGCCGCATGACCCGGAAGCTGTACGCCAGCTCCCTTGGCCAATAAAGCGAAATGAGCCCCGCAACCCCAGAGTCGGTCACGACTGGACCTAATGGTCAGGGGTCCCTTTACCTTTACCTAATAGAATCTAGTACAGGCATCCCCAAACTCGGCTCTCCAGGTGTTTTGGGACTACAACTCCCATCATCCCTAGCTAACAGGATCAGTGGTGAGGGATGATGGGAATTGTATTCCCAAAACATCTGGAGGGCCGAGTTTGGGGATGCCTGATCTCATATATATTATTTCCCTCCTCGTCAGTGGTAGGAAAACTTCCTTCAATCCGCCCCCCCCCTTCCATACCAGGAACAATGCGGTCCACGAGATCTGCAAACTGTCCAGCATAATTGAAACAATTGCTGCTCCCATACTGAACGTTCCTGCCAGTTTAAATTGATGGGCAGCACTCCATTCTCTGCACCATCTGACTGAGAAGTTGCATCTCCTGGGGCAGATTCCAGGCCCTTCAGAACAGTAGCATCCCATCCGTGACATCCACTCTCCAATGAGGCATGCCCAAATCTCAGTGAGAGCCCAAAATCTAGTCACCGCCAGAAGATCGCATAAAACGTTTTCATCTGGGCTCTTGAGGATTGATCTATTTGTGATATTTTGGTGTCCTAATAGAATATTAACTTTATAGTTCTGTTGCCGATATTTGTGCTGCATTATTGATTCATTTAATGAATCGTAATTGTTTGTGGGTTCTGTAGCTTTGCCTTGAATTGCTGTTTTTATGGCGAGAAAATTGAAGTAGAAATGGGGTGGGGGAAAACCAGGAGCAGGTCTTCAGCTATGCAGAGCCCTAAGGCAGTGGCTGGGAAGCGTATTTCTTCATGACAAACAGCACAGTAGTAACACTCAAGCCCAACTAGTTGCATCCTGAATCTTGATACACAGGCACAGGGAACAACCTGTAAAAACATTTTCATCATGCAGTTATTAGGATGGATAATAATGATAACTATTGACTTTTCAATAGCTAAACACAGTGAACAACCAAAACTGATTTTGCCAAAACAGATTAAAGAAATGATTAGGAAGCACATGGGAAAAAAAACCTTTATATGTCCCAAAGGAAGCCCTTAAAACAGCATACCCTTCAACTTTTATCCAATGAAGAATAGGGGCATTCTATCCCATCATCATCATCATCTTACTATTTATACCCCTACCATCTAATTGGGTTGCTCCAGCCACTCTGGGCAGCATCCAATATATATATACATTAAACATTTTTAAACTTCGCTATACAGGGCTACCTTCAAGATGGTTCGGGCGTTGCATAACTCCAAACCCACCAATATATCTCCAATTAAAATAGGAACGTCCTAACGAAAAGTGGGACATTCTGGAATCAAATCAGAAACTGGGATGGCTTCTGTAAATCCAGGACTATCCCTGGAAAATAGGGACATTTTGAGGGTCTGAAACAGGGTGGGAGTCCTCCAGTCTGGAAGACAAATGCTGCATTCCAGATCTGTCTGTCCTTGGGACACTTCAGAGCCACCCCCTCTTTCGCCAGGCTATGTCTCCCAACAATCTCGCTTCATATTCTCCTGGGTGTGTTTATCTGGCTAGAAAGAGTTCTTGAACTCTGACAGCAATTCTTGGTTTTCCTGGATTGAGGGGCGTGTGCGCACAGACTAGAAATGAGCCTGCTGTATAAAAGTAAGATTTAAATTCCTTGCTCCTCCAATGTTTACCTCTGGCTGCACCCACAGAAAGGTTCCCCCCTGGAAGGGAATTAAGTCCTCAGTCTGAAAAATTCTGCCTTAAATTCGCTTTCACAATGAGAACTGGGTTGCCCCAGCCACTCTGGGCAACTTCCAACACACATCAAAACATAATAAAACATTTAAAAATTTCTCTATACAGGGCTTGGACGCGGGTGGTGCTGTGGGTTAAACCACAGAGCCTAGGACTTGCCAGTCAGAAGGTTGGCGGTTCAAATCCCCGCGACGGGGTGAACTCCTGTTGCTCGGTCCCTGCTCCTGCCAACCTAGCAGTCCGAAAGCACGTCAAAGTGCAAGTAGATAAATAGGTACTGCTCCAGCGGGAAGGTAAACGGCGTTTCCGTGCGCTGCTCTGGTTCGCCAGAAGCGGCTTAGTCATGCTGGCCACATGACCCGGAAGCTGTACGCTGGCTCCCTCGGCCAATAAAGCCAGATGAGCGCCGCAACCCCAGAGTCAGCCACGACTGGACCCTAATGGTCAGGGGTCCCTTTACCTTTATACAGGGCTGCCATCAGGTGTCTTCTAAAGGTTGTAGAGTTACTTATCCCCCTGAGTCGGGGGGCCGCATAACTCCATACCGTCCAACATTTCTCCGATTAAAATAGGATCGTCCTAAGAAAAGTGGGACATTCTGGGATCAAATCAGAAACCAGGATGGCTTCTGTAAATCCTGGACTATCCCTGGAAAACAGAGACACTTGGAGAGCCTGGACCTTATCCTCAGAATTGTTCTAAGAATAGTTGGGGAGCTTTCCCAGATGAAAGATCAAATTACCTTAACACTGCCTGTCTTTTAAGCTCCCTCTAAGAATCTTGACAGTACCTTTCCTGCTTATGCCAATTAAACAGTTCAAGACATGTAAATAGGCAGGCAGACATGCTTGAGCACAGACATCTGGAACATTATTAAGATACAGATGCAAATTGCTTGTTTAGATGTAATTTCCCTCCTAAGGTCAAGTGTTAGCCTCCTCCATTCAGCATCAGCAAAAATGCAAACTGCAGTACCCAGTGATGAGAGTCAAAATGCTTCGGGAGGCCTTGACTGATGAGCTTAATGCTCTTGTTATTTGGAAGAAACTCATGACTCCTGTAGTTTTCTTGGAACTAACTTTAGAAACCAATTTGCCATGCCAAGTGCATTTAAGTTGCAACCTACTCAGTTCAATTAAGGTAATATATCAGTGCTCATTAGAAGAAATTAATAGCAGCAGAATGTCAGACACTATGTACTATGTAATTAGAGGTTCTGGCCCCTCGTGGACATTGAAAATTCCTTACTGGGCTTCACAAAACTGAAAGTGTTTTCTCTTATTAAGGCTTCTGGCAAAATGTGTTTATTTTTATTTGGGGCAATGCTGGTGACTGGTGGTTTTATTATAGGCCTGGCATTATGCGAACCTTTGAAAGAAATGATGTGTTCCTACCCTGCCCTGAATGCCTGCTTTTATGTTCAGAACTTGATTTCTTGTTGTGTGGATATGTTTAAGAAACCTGCCGAGTTATCTTTTATTTCCAGAATGGCACTGGTGCCTTAACAGTCCATCATACCTAAACAAATACAAGTAAATTGAAAACTCAGACATTGTCCAGGCCCCTGCATGTAGTCAGTCTGATGCACTTTGCAGCCAACATATTTCCCCTTTGTGGGTTATGAATGCATACACATACATACATATGCACTGATTGTTTTGTTCTGTCTGTTTTATGCAATTTATTTGTGTTTTTATCTCATGTTCTTATCTTGTGAACTGCCCTGAAATCTTTTGATGAAGGGTAGTACAGTGGTACCTCGGGTTACATACACTTCAGGTTACAGACTCCGCTAACCCAGAAATATTACCTCGGGTTAAGAACTTTGCTTCAGGATGAGAACAGAAATCGTGCTCCGGCGGCATGGCAGCAGTGGGAGGCCCCATTAGCTAAAGTGGTGCTTCAGGTTAAGAACAGTTTCAGGTTAAGAGCGGACCTCCGGAACGAATTAAGTACTTAACCCGAGGTACCACTGTATATAAATCAAATACAGAGCTTTCCAAACTGTCTTAGCATTAGTATGAGGGCTCCCAGAAAGGGGGCCGTGGCCTTTCTCTTCTTTTTGCTGCTGTGCTGTGCTGAGCTAAGCCATAGTTCGGCTTAGTTTCTTGCCCAGATGCAGTTTATCTCAGCCGTTTCGCTCCCCCAGACAAACCACGAGCCATGAACCACAGGACAAAACCTTGATTAGTTTTTGGTTTGTCTAGAGAGTGCCAAACCACAAGTCCAGGCTTGGGCAAGGCACTAAGCCAAACTATACGCAGCAGCAAAAACACCATGCTAAGCAAAGTGGTTGCAATCTCCTCTCCCAGAGTCTGCTTATTCATGCCAAGTCATGTTTTGGCTTAGCATGATGTGTGGAACGGATCACAGTGTCTAGGAAGCTGCCTTATACTGAGCCAGACCATTGGTCCATCTAGCTAAGTGTTGTCTACTGTCAGCAGCTCTCCAGCATTTCAGGCCGACTTCTCCTCCAGACCTACCTGGAGATGCTGGGAATTGAACCCAGGAACGTCCAAAAGGCAAGCAGACGTTCTACCATTGAGCTATGGCCCTTTCCCTAGCTCACCTAACCGAACTCTCAACTCTGGCCTTTCTCTTTCTAACTCCCGGCGAGAGAGGGCCCACCCATTTCTCACCAGGCACAGAGCCACTTTCTTTGTTCCCTGAGTTGCCTATCACCAGGGGTGAACTTTGGTAATATGGTGTCCTGAGTGAGGACAGAATTTGGTGCTCCCTCCCCCCCCCATATTTATTATTCTCACAATAATTCCTTTTGGTACAGTTGCTTTTATGGATCTTCTCAGTAGGTACCTGTATAAATATAATTATGATTATAATGCACCCCTGAAGAAGAAGAAGAAAAGAAGAATTTATTATTTAACCACCACCCTCAAATCTGGCTGGGCTTCCCCAGCCACTCTGGGCAGCTTCCAAAAAAGATTAAAAAATACATTTAAACACTTGTCATTAAAAACTTCCCTAAACAGGGCTGCCTTCAGATGTCTTCTAAATGTCAGATAGCTGTTTATCTCCTTGACATCTGAAGGGAGGATGTTCCACAGGATGGGCACCACTACCGAAAAGGCCCTCTGCCTGGTTCCCTGTAAACTTGGCTTCTTGCAGTGAGAGAAGCACCAGAAGGCCCTTGGAGCTGGACCTCAGTGTCCGGGCAGAACAATGGTGCCGTGTGTTGGTGCCCGGTGTGGGGTAACTGCCTGCAACACCCTAAAGCCGGCGCTGCTATCACCTCACCAGGAAGCTAGTTTTTCCACGAATTAAAAAGGGACCCAGGCATTTCTCCTACCCCCACCCAAACTCATATTTTTTTTGCATTATGGAAAGTGTGGGCTGCATACACTGAAAAGTGTGGACAGACAATTGCTGGAACTGACAGGACTTGGCTGCAAATAAAACATCTCAAATGTGTTGTAAAGTGCAATATGCAAATGTGACACTCGATGGCGACAGCGAGCTACGCCATATTCAATGTGTTTTTCAAAACGCTTTTTAAAAAAATCATTTTGACAGCATTTTTTATACGCCACCTCAATAATAAACCAGGGATACCAACTTGTAAACAATATTTATTGGGGGGGGGATGCAGGTAAACCCTGCCTTGCATATTCCCTCACATGATGTGGTGCACTGCACACTATTTGAATGGACGCAGGTGGCGCTGTGGTCAAACCGCTGAGTCTCTTGGGCTTGCTGATCAGAAGGTTGGCGGTTCGAATCCCTGCAACAGAGTGAGCTCCCGTTGCTCTGTCCCAGCTGCTAGCAGTCTGAAAGTATGCCAGTGTAAGTAGATAAATAGTTACCGCTGCGGCGGGAAGGTAAACTGTGTTTCCATGCGCTCTGGTTTCCATCATGGTGTTCTGTTGCGCCAGAAGTGGTTTAGTCATGCTAACCACATGACCGGGAAAAGCTGTCTGTGAACAAACGCCTGCTCCCTTGGCCAGAAAGCAAGATGAGTACCACAACCCCAGAGTCTCCTTTGACTGGACTTAACCGTCCAGGGGTCCTTTACCTTTATTATTATGATTTGAATGGCAGTGCCCATCATCTTGAGGTCGGGGGCAAGCCCCCTCAAATATCTTAAGGGGGGGCGAAGGGACCTCGGCCCCCAAGGAGTTGGCTCCTATGATAACACCCTCAGCATACGTGCTCAATAAGCAGCAGGCGTCGCACCACCTTTATGCAAACGCCATGGAGGCTCCATGAGCAGGTGGCCCCGAAGGGAACATCTGGAATGTGGGAAGCGCGCCAGCTGCCGCTTTGCTGCTTCAGAAATCCCCTTCTTTCTCACACACAAACCCCGCGCCGAGCGGTTCTTTCTTTTCCCCCCCTTCCTCTCCCGAGGCTGAGCAGCGTCCATGGGCATCCAGGTGGGCTGCAGCCTCTCCGCCAGCCCCGGGCTCGCCCTGCCCGCTGCTTCGCGCGCTCCCTCCTTCCCTCCCCTCGGCTCCTCCCCGCGTCCAGAGCACCAGCCGCCTCTCGCTTTTCTCCCCGCAGGCGAAGGGAGAGAGCAGCTCCAGGCGAGAACTCGGCCGGACGGAGATTCCCGCCAAAATGGTGCCCGGGCGGCGGGCGCTCTCGTGGGCCGCGCTCGCGCTGGTCCTCCTCCTCGTGTGCCTGAGTCCCGGTGAGTCAGCCCCGCGCGCTGGAAAGGGGCTCTGCCCCACGCTCGGGAGAAGTGGGGCTTGGGGAGTATGGGGGGAAAGAGGGCGGCGGGCACGCAGGATGATGCCCCACCCCCAAGACAAGGGGGCGCACGCTGAGGCTGAGCGAGGCAGCAGCCCCTTCGTCGTCGTCTTCCCGCCAAAATTCCCCAACGCCGGTGGATGTAGAATGGCTCTGGTTGGAGCTGGGAAGCAGGAAACTCCTGATCTTTGGTCCCCCTGCTCATAAAAACGAGGGCTGGGCTTTGCATCCAGGAGGGATGTCCCAGATGCCCAGACACACACTTCAAAACAAAACAAAGCCCATTCCACCACTGCTGCTAATAATGCTCCATATTATTAATTGTGTGCGCATGCATGTGCACAGCTCTGCAAAGTGGTATACTTCAGATGTGGCGCATATAATGTGGATTTGCTTTGCTGGAGGAAAGAGACTGTGTTCCCTTGCCTAAACAGCCAGATGTGGAAGCAATCATATTTTTCACTCCCAGCCCAGGACAGTCTCTTCGCTTTTTCCAGAAGGTATCCCCTTTATAACCCTGATGATAGCGCCAATATTGCCACGTCGTATATATGTTGCCAAGGTTGCATGTTTGATCCCCGTATGGGGCAGCTGCATATTCCTCCATTGCGGGGGTTGGACTAGAGGATCCTCAGGGTCCCTTCCAACTCTATAATTATACGATTCTATGTCACAAAAGCTTCCATCCCACCCCCACAATTGGGGAGTTTATGTTAGCTATGTCTGTTTCAAAGGCAAAGGTGAGCATACAGTAAAGCCATCTCTGCAGATTGACAGTTATCAACAGAGTTCATTATGCTACATTCCTTAGACGAGGGGTAGGCAAGGGGGTGCCCCCCAGATGTGGTTGGATTCCAGCTCCCATTTGCCCCAGCTAGTAAGGGCAGCGGTCGCTGCTAATAATAATAATAATAATAATAATAATAATAATAATAATATTATTTGTACCCCGCCCATCTGGCTGGATCTCCCCAGCCACTCTGGGCGGCTTCCAATGAAGATTAAAAATACATTAAAATGATGGGAGTTGTACACAAACAACATCTGAAGGGTACCAGGTTGGCTAGCCTTGCCTCAGTTCTCTAATCAGGTTTAGGTGCCAACTTCTAACATTACACTTGTCTGAAATGAGACCCCTTAGTTCCTTGGATTGGGGTGAGGCTACAGACAGGCAAATTTCTACGATTTACTATTGCAAGTAAGAACTGGCAGAAGCACCTTGTTTTCTGCAGGCTCAACTTTCTCAAATACATTCACAACTCATATTAAGAGAGCAGTGCTTTGCAGGAAACCTTGTAAATTCTTTCAATCCTGATTTATTTTGATTTTGAATTCCTTTAGGTGTATCAAGAGGAAATAAACTTAAGCTGATGCTCCAAAGACGGGAAGGTAAGTTTTCTGTCTCCAACTTGTGGCTCTTTCTGCCTCAGCTGTTACTTGCCAGAAAAACAGCAGCTAACTCAAACCAGAGCCCCACCTTCTGCCCATATCTTGGGTCTGTTTCAGAAGAAGTGGGAGAAATTTTCAAGGGATTAAATGGTTTGTAAAAAGAGGGACACTTCATTTCCCACCTGTCTTTCCCCTTGTGCACTGTCCCATTAGGGACTGTGGGAAAGACCAGGTCAGTGAAAGTCAAATGCACCCTTCAATCTAATTTTTACAGGCTTTGATGACCACTGTTGCAAGAAATCAGAGGAAGACAGAACATGTAGTTCTAGGCTCTTGTCTGGGGTCATCCTTCATATGCCAGTACAATACCCAGGGATACTTCACCGCAGTTGTCCAGTATCACAGTTCTCATAAGAAAATAAAAAAATTCCTTCTAGTAGTACCTTAAAGAGACCAACTAAGTTTGTTATTGGAATGAGTTTTCGTGTGCATGTGCACTTCTTCATGCACACGAAAGCTCATACCAATAACAAACTTAGTTGGTCTCTAAGGTGCTACTGGAAGGAATTTTTTTATTTTGTTTCGACTACGGCAGACCAACACGGCTACCTACCTGTAACTACCTGTTCTCATGTTATGTTTGATATACAGTATATGTGCTTGTCACACAAAGCAACACAGAATTTAGCATGCAAAGTTGCGTAACAGATCCATATGCAAAGGTTTTATACATTTTGATCTTCAGAATGGATTATGTGTTTTATTTATTGTTGTTTATAAGCCATGGGTAGGCAAACTAAGGCCCGGGGGCTGGATCCGGCTGAATCGCCTTCTAAATCTGGTCTGCGGACGGTCCAGAAATTTTTACATGAGTAGAATGTGCCCTTTTATTTAAAATGCATCTCTGGGTTATTTGCGGGGCCTGCCTGGCGTTTTTACATGAGTAGAATGTGTGCTTTTATTTAAAATGCATCTCTAGGTTATTTGTGGGGCATAGGAATTTGTTTCCCCCCCAAAAAAAATATAGTCCGGGCCCCGCAAGGTCTGAGGGACAGTGGACCGGCCCCCTGCTGAAAACGTGTGCTGACCCCTGTTATAAGCATTGAAGGGTACTTAAGAGCAGGGCTGAGGAGCCTATAGAGTATAGACCCTTCAGGTCTTTGGACCCCCAACTCCTACCAGCCCCTTCCACCTGTCAATCCAAAACATGTAATTGATCCCTGCTTGCGACAAGTGACGTTATCTAGAGTAAGCAACCTTTAGGTTAAACCGTTCCTGTGTTTGCTGTCTCTTGCATTTCAGCTCCTGTTCCGGTTAAGGCAGATGTGTCTGTCAAAGAAGATAAGGCCAAGGAGTTTTTGAGCAGCTTGAAACGTCAGAAGCGGCAGCTGTGGGACAGGAGTCAACCAGATGTACAGCAGTGGTACCAGCAATTTCTCTACTTAGGCTTTGATGAAGCAGTAAGTGGCAACGTTTTCTGTTTTGGAACACCCAAAAAGGCAACTCACTGAAGCCCCCTCCGATGGTTATGTCAATTAATTTACTTTTTATTATTGTTTTTGTCGTCTTCGCATGAAACAGGGTTTATTTTCCTTTCAGATAGAAGCAGGCATGGTCTGGAAAGGGGAGTTTTCTAGTGGTTAACTTGGGTCTGATTATGTGAAGTTCATTGAAGCAGGAATGGGATAGTCCACCCCAGCTCTTAGAACAGAACTAGGAAACCTGATCTGGGTCAGTGGCCAGATCGTCATCTTCCTTACCCTTCATGAGTCAGATTGGACGGATGGATGGCACTACCCACCTGTCAGTCATATGACATCACCCTGCACTGCTTGCAAATAGTTTGGTGCGGGTTAAAATGTGCTTTGAGATTCCAGGTACCTACTGCCCATCATCCATCTAAGATGTCAGATTTCTGATTTTGAACACACAACACCTAATAACACTGTCAGAGAAGGGCAGGTCGATGTGTTTTCCTCCTTTTAAAGGAAACAGCAGTTGACCTGATGACTTTAATGTAGAAGACAACTGACAGCACCACAGAGATAAGACTGGCAATCTTGTGGCCCATTTTCTCAAGGAAAGCAACAATTTTACAACTTTGTATATACACAACAGGAAGTAAAAGATACAACTTTTGCACTGTTCAATGCTATCTTTAGTAGTAGCATTGGCAGTTCCCGCTTTTTAAAAAGAAAATGTAACAATAAAGGGAAACTTTTGGATAGTTTTCTTCTAAATATTGTGTGGAACAAAACTTAATACAGATTTTGCTCTGGGGATTTATACAGCAATTTGGTACCACATATTAAAATGCAGCAATGTATTGCCTGAATGTACTGTAGCACCTGAATATGGCAAAGGAAAATTTATTGAGTTTCATGGTGGTTGTGTGGTTTTGCTAGACTGGAGAGATATTCTAACAGTAGCTCAAATATTGAGGCTAGGAAAACTACAAAAATGTAAACTACTATATAATTTACTTACCTTTAAATCTCTTTTTAAACAATTGTGAATCAAAAGTATTCATAAACCTGGGCAGATAAATAGATCCAGTTGCTTTTCTTCATAAGTAACAAGGCACATTGTGCTTTATTTAAAGATATCATAATTTGGATTACAAACAAACAAAACTGGCATCCTTTCATAGCCATAAACATTAATGAGATTGTTTTCTTTGGAGTGATATAGCATCATCATAGGCTAAGAGCAGTGAAATGAGGTACTACTGTAATAAGAAGTGATAAAATATACAGCAAACATTTTGAGGGTTTGGGATATAGGTCAGATTTTGAAGTAGAGTTGATTTTATAGAATTTCAGAGTTCAAGTTAATATGTGAAACTAAAGTTTTGAAACCTCTCTGAGCTAGGTAAATTGTTGAAAACAGTATCACTCTTCATGTCTAGGAATTTTAAATTGGTACAAAGTGCTTAAATACAGGGAGGTTTTTAATTTAATGTGAATATTGTGCAAAATGGGTGCCAGTCTAGAGCGGTGAAAATGAGTCCTCAGCACACGTGATGCTGGATAAGCATAGGCTCATAGAATTGTAGAGTTGGGAGAGACCCCGAGAGTCATCTAGTCCAGCCCCCTCCAATACAGGAATATTTTCCCCAGCATGGGACTCGAACCCATGACCAAGATTAAGGGTTTCATGCTCTTACTGACTGAGCTATCAGCATGATCAGGCTGTGGGTTATGTTTTCAAATGTGAAAGATTGTGCAGGCTTCTAATCATTTTTAATGGTTTGGTTTTTTTAAAATCCTAAAGCTTTGTTTTGTTTCTTCTCAGACCCGTAACAAAAAAATATTATTCTGCACTGCATATAAAAGAATTGCATGCATAAGTTGATTTGGGTAACAGTATGAATAAGAGAGAAACCTTCCAGTGCAATACAGGAAGTTGTTACTATTTACAAAGGTGCTGAACCCTTTGTATGGCGAAGTTGCAGCTAGTAGCTAATTGCTACCACTTTTTTTTTTCTTGTATGCAGAAATTTGAAGATGATGTCTCCTACTGGTCAAACCTAGGCCGCAGTGGCCATGAATATTACGGTGGTTATTACCATCACCATTATGATGAAGACGCACCTATTGGCCCACGAAACCCACATACTTTTAGGCATGGAGCAAGTGTCAATTATGACGATTATTAATCTCATCTTTCCTTCTCTGGATTAGAATGCCAGGAAGACGGATACCGCCCAAAGGTGCCTCTTACGCTTCTTTGAAATTAACTAGTTTGTTATAAACATTAATAACAAAAAAAAAAGTTATGGAACGTTTTTATATCCACTCAGTAGCATAACATGTATAAACGTTAGCATTAAAATTTCTTGATAAGTATTCCTCCCAGTACTTTTGGTGAAATTATTGTAAGACAGCATGGTTACCTTATGAAATTTCAGTTATCTTGAAGGACAGCAGGTGGCATATGGCTTTGGTAAAATCAATGTGCCCCCCCAAAAGTGTGAATTGATAATCAGACTCTAAACATTCATATACCGGCAGAAACAATTGCTTACAGGGTTGCAACAGGAACTTAAGAGCCTGTTGGATCAGGCCACTGACCCATTTAGTCCAGCATCCTCTTCTCACAGTGACCAACCTCCCAGATGACTATGGCGCACCCGCAAAGGGAACTTGAGCACAACAACACTCTCCCCTCTTGTGGTTTCCAGCAACTGGTATTAAGAAGCATACTTACTATGGAGGTAGGACTATCTTCCATGAGTTTGTCAAATCCTATTTTTAAAGATGTCCAAGTTGGTGGCCCTCAAAATAGTAAATGTAAATGTAAAGGGACCCCTGACCATTAGGTCCAGTCGTGGCCGACTCTGGGGTTGCGGTGCTCATCTCGCTTTATTGGCCGAGGGAGCCGGCATACAGCTTCCGGGTCATGTGGCCAGCATGACTTAAGCTGCTTCTGGCGAACCAGAGCAGCGCATGGAAACGCCATTTACTTTCCCGCCAGAGCTGTACCTATTTATCTACTTGCACTTTGACGTGCTTTCGAACTGCTAGGTGGGCAGGAGCAGGGACCGAGCAACGGGAGCGCGCCCCGTCACAGGGATTCAAACCGCCGACCTTCTGATCGGCAAGTACTAGGCTCTGTGGTTTAAACCACAGCGCCACCTGCGTGCCTTGGCCCTCAAAATAGTTTGTCTTTAATCCTCCAAGTTAGCACGTTAGCACCAAGTTATACTGTTATAATAATGTTCTACTACTTTAAATCAAACAGTACAATACTTTTCCTGTAGGGATTTTGCATTATAACTAAATTAGGGGAATATGAATGAGTAATGTGTTAATTAGTACTGCAAATAGCAATGTAGTTTCCTCTGTTTGCTATAGTGCAGAAAAAAATGGACCAGGCTATATAAACCGTAAGTGCCTACTTAACTCATTTAAAATCATGAAATTATCTTTGACTAGGTTGTACTTTATGAAAAGAATTGCTTACAACCTTATACACTGTTACTACTCAAGACGACCAGTTACTGAAAGAAAGAGAGACCACCAATGTAAGTTTTCTGTAACTCTGTCAATATGCGTGAAGGTGCAACAAACAGCTGCAGCATTCTTATATGAAAAACTGATATTTGTAAGTTTCAATATTTTATTAAAATAGCATATTCAACCACTGGTAACCAATAATACATTAACTTTCCCCCAGATTGTGCACAACACAGTAGTGATTTAAAATAGCATTTATCCATGAAAGTCAGTGAAAATATTTTCAAATTCAAGTGTGCAACTAGAACTAAACATTTGGGGGGAGAAAACCCAATTTCAAAAGAATACATAAAGCTCTCATACAGAATTCTTTTTATTATAATCCTATAATACTAGATGCCAGTGTTTTCAATCATCTGACAATACTGCTTGCTCTTTTTTTTCTTTATGCATAGTATCTCTCATTTAAAGTACCCACTTTTTATAAATAAATTGGCATTTTCCCATCCCATCTGCAGCTTCACAAAGAAACCAGTAAATAAAACTGTCAAGGACAGTCACAACAAAATGATCTCACAGCAAGATATAAAAACTTGAAGATACTAAAAAAAGGATGCTTCTATCCTATTTTACATAAAAAGACAGATTTAAAAAGTGCAAGGCAAAGATTGCAGTTTTCTTATTTAGGCACATCCACTTCTTTAAAGCAAGCTTCAGAGTGAAATTTCCAGTTTTTCTTCATGATACCTGTTTCAGAAGTCTTTTTAACAAAAGACAAATTATACCTTTCAAACACAAGGAAAGGTTTTCAATTCCTTTCCGACTTAAAGAGTTTTTAGTTATGTCTGGTTCTTCCTTTTTTTATCCTGGCAGGTTTTGGTTTAGGAATATATTGATTATTTGCTTGATATTCCAATTCTTTGCGAAAGTAATGAATTGCTTTATTTAAGCCTTCTTCCAACGGGACCTGTTACCAAAGAGAGATACAGCCGAATGAGTCAAGTTATAAAAGTGCTTATTTGCTCATTGTGATTGTCATAAGTATGTCAAACAGGGTTATTTATTTAATTTGCTTAATGCATTTATATCTCACCGTTCCTCCAAGGAGCTCTAGGTGGTGCATTTACAGATACTTCACCAAATAACTTAAGAGAGCATTTGCATCCAGTGGCAATTTCCGCGAAAACTTAGTAGCTCTGTCAATTGGCCTGTTCATACCTTAAAATCTATGAAGCAGGAAGGAGGGTTTTCCCCCAGCTTGAATGGTGTCCTGGCACCTTTCAGAGAGGGTCTCCTCATGAGTTGGAGGTGCAGCAGGGCTTTGCTGAGGATTTTCAGCAAAACAGGCAGGCAGGGGAAGCCTGTGAAGGTACTCTACCATCTGCCTCCCTGGCCTGAGAAAGTGGGGCAGGCCGCCTCTTTTCCTGATCAATGGGGGTGGAGATCATGAGTGAAGGAGTAGCCCAAACTCAATCCCTTCCACCCCATGTGATCTCAAGAGAGTTCACGGGGTCGGGGAGCAGGCTGCTCCTTCGCCCGCACGTGTCTGGGCTGGATGGCAATTGCCTGCCTTCTCCTGAGCAGGTTCGCTGCACCTTTCCTCTTAGGGAGACCAAATGCATCAAGAGGAAAGGCTCAGGCAAGCACTACAGAGCCTGAGATTGTATGAGTGGCAGGGGGATCAGGCATGCGGGCAAAGGAACATTTCCATCACCCCCGCAATCTCCCCTGCCTCCACCACAGTTGCCTCCTGGGGAAAAGAGGAAGACAGACCATGCAAAGCCGGCTGAGGCAGCACTGCAAACAGAGCATGATAGAGCCTGGCTCTCGAGGAGACACACACACCCCAGCCCAAAGATGGGCTCTGGGATGGGTCTTCTCAGAGAGGTGCATTCCCACACCTTTGGGACTGGGGGGGGGGGAAAGCATTGGAGGTAGGTAACTGGCAATCCTTAAGTACAACATTCTCAATTGGCCCTTCTGACTTATTCCTCCTCTACATTATTAGCAAAATATGGAGGTGGAGAGAGGCACACCTCCCTCTTCTATTTCTTCCGCTTTTACTGGACTACAACTCCCATCATCCCTGGCCACGGGGGAAAAGAGAAGAAGAAACTGCTATGGCATGAGTTTGGGACCTCTTCAACTTGTGTCCGCAGTGAAATCTGGCAGTAACCATAGACTAGAGTACTGCATTCATCAAAGTGATAAAAGTTGCAAAACTGTGGAGTGTGTTGGAAGTATCACAATCTCCAGGCACCACCTCTTCCAATAGCTTAAGGCAGGAGTGAAGAGTTCCTATAGGAATTTGTAAAGCTACCTGGAAGATGGTAAGTTGGGTTCCGAAAGTTCTCCCTGAGGAGAACTGGTGGGTTTTGAGGGCATAATAAGTGGAATGCCCAACTTTGCCATACCTACCTTTTTGTACCTCTTTCAGCAGATCCAGTTTACTTCCTGCCATTTCCTATGTTGCAGGGGCACTTGCTCACAGATAATGAAAAATGCGACTGGCAAAATGAATAATCAAGCTCCCTCAGAATTTTTGGACTGTTACTCACTGGAATAAACTGGAGCTAGGATTGCAGCAATTATCTATTCTGAGTAAGGAATTCTCAGTCTCTTGCTCCAATACTTTTCTGTTTCTTCTGCCTACTTACAAAATATGCAGCCTAGAAACAAGTTAGCTGCAAGCCAAAACTCAGAAGTAAACCTCAACGGGCGTTATTTGTGTACAGAATGCACCACTGAACTACTGCCCTTTTATTATTTTATTTAGGTAATTTATAACCTGCTCTTCATTAAATCAACACCAGGGTGGGGTACAACCTAAGGAAGCTCTCTGAAAAAATCAAAACCACAACGATGATAAATTATACATGTAAGAATGTGTCTGAACTAAGGCAGACAGATATTTGTTGCACACCTCTAGCGTTTACTCCCCACTGAACTATATAGTACAAAACTATACTAGCTTCTGGGGGGGAGGAATAGCAGAGCTTCACACAGGCTTAATTTCAAACCTACACCCAACCTGCATGCACACACACACACACACACACACACACACACACAGCATTCTACTTTCCTACGAGGCAGTGCTACTGCTAAGAAAATGGATGTTAAGGATTCTCAAGGCATCTCCGTCCGAAAGGTAGAAAGCACCATTAATCATTACCACTCTATAATGACCTACTGTTCAATAAAACTTGTTTCAGTGGGAGCAGAGTCAGATCCACAAACACACATTTTCCTTCACTGCCTTTGTTAAAATCACTTTCGCTCTCAAGGGCCCCTGCTTATTTGCTCTAGATTTAACTAGCTTAGCTGTTTGTTTTAAAGATGAATACCAGACGTGTGGCTATTATCTATCAAGGAGCAGCAGCAATATTGATTTTTTGGGGGTGGGGGTGGGGGTGGAGAAGAACTCTTCCCAAAAGGAGGTAGCACATCATGGAAGGAATTTCATTAGATTTGCCCTGCACAGCAAGGAACACAGAGCATTATTCATTTCTTGATGGTGTTGCCTTTCAAAAATATTTGCACATAACACTGTTAACTCTAGAATTACATACCACAGGTTCCCAACCAAGTAGTAACTTGGCTTTCCTGATGTCAGGCTTCCTTTTCTGAGGGTCATCTTGAGCTTCTGACAGAAACTGGATTTCACTTCCGCTGCCTGCCAAAAAACAACACCAAACTCGCAAATATTACAAAGCTACATTGGTTTCTGGTGATCGACTAACAGTTTCAGAAGTCTGAAACAAATCAAAACAGGTAGTTTTCAAATGTCCCCCTATACAGCACATGTTTTCCAAGACAGGCTGAAACAAAGGCTTCACACACCTACAACTCCCCTAAACTATGGTGTACAAAGTCAAGAGACCACACAGGTCCAGTGCAGTTATAATGCAGCCCCATCATCCTTGCAGTTGGAAACCCAGTAAGTCCAACCTAGCATTAAGCGCAAGTAACAGTTCAGGCAGAAAGTAGCTTCCTTGTCCACTCCTCCTGATGCACCCCTAAAAATGTTCCACTGAGGTTTGGGGTACCCTGCTAAGTAAGTGGGCTGGGCTGAGGTACAGGGGTGCACCATCATGGAAGCTTAGCTGGCTGCAAGCCAGTGTTCTGTGGGCACACAATCTCTTCTGCCCATGTAAATACTTCTCCTTCCTTCCTTTTATCCTAAGTCCCATCCAGCTGTTCTAATTTCTCATCTGCTGAGGTAAGAGAATTGATGAGAGGGCTGGAGTTGCCCCATGTCCCCAGTAATTCCTGCTACCCTTCATAAAGTTGGAAAGATAACTTCTGAAGCAGAAAGTATACTATTTGCATACTGTAATACAGTGGTACCTCGGGTTAAGAACTTAATTCGTTCCGGAGGTCTGTTCTTAACCTGAAACCGTTCTTAACCTGAAGCACCACTTTAGCTAATGGGGTCTCCTGCTGCCGCCACTACACGATTTCTGTTCTCATCCTGAAGCAAAGTTCTTAACCCGAAATAATATTTCTGGGTTAGCGGAGTCTGTAACCTGAAGCATATGTAACCTGAGGTACCACTGTATTCTGAATTGCACAAGGTGTTAACAGCTGCCCCTGTTCAGCCATTTGCCTCAGGCATGTAAAAAGTGGTGTGGAGGAAGCAAGTATGCGTTTTCTCACTCGTACCTCATGTGATTCCAATAGTGTGGGGAATCAAAACACCCTAATAGGGCAATAGCATTATTTACCATTAATATTTATTGGTCGCTTTCCTCACAAAAGTGACCCAAAGCAACTTAAAAGTATACCAACCAACCAATAAAAAAACTACTATGAAGTTAGGCCTTACAGAACTAAGAGAGGCCCCCAAATCCCTGAAACCTTTCAAATTACAGGCCAAAAGCCCAGGTAAAATGGGAAGGTTTTGCCTGCTACCTTAAAAAGATAAAAAGCTGGCACCAGGCATGCATGTATCTCTCATAATTTCCCTCATTATGACTCCAGCTCAAAGTCTGCAACCAAGCAGAAGTGGCTTCCTTGCAGCAGGGTTGCTGCTGCTTACTGGTGCGCCAACTTCGCGGGCACTACCTTTTGGTTAAGAAGCACTGTTGGGAAGTTAGTGTTGCAGCTCCACCCACCAGGTGAACCTCTTCTCCACTCATGCCGTTCTACTGGATAAACCCCAACGGGTACAAGTATGCAAGCTGTTCCAAGTTTGTTCAGGGCAATTATATGTCATACTTACCAACGAGTTTCTTAATTAACTGGGCAAACTCTAAAATAGAGTGTTCTTCTGGATTCCCCTAAGGATATAAGAAGCACCATTAAAATGACATTTTACCAAAAAAAAAAAAAAAAAAAGAGCTTTATTTTGAAATAAGGTAACTAGCAAATAAAAGGACTAGATCAGGCACAGGCAAACTCGGCCCTCCAGCTGTTTTGGGACTACAACTCCCATGGTCCCTAACAGGACCAGTGGTCAGGGATGATGGGAACTGTAGTCCCAAAACATCTGGAGGGCCAAGTTTGCCTATGCCTGGACTAGATCCTAACTTTTGTGCTGTGAACAGGATGTGGTTTCCTGCCTCCCCCTTCTCTCTGCAGCCTCCTGTGAAGAGCTGTCTTGAGAGTGGGAGTGAACAAACCCTCACGAACAGAATGGCAATTGTGTGAGGTGATACTCAACGGGGAGGAGGAATAGCTAGATGACCGTGATTCCCCACTCCTTATGCAAATGGAAGAACCCACCACACACCAGCAACCTTCGACCAAAAATGACGTCACTAGTTGTTACCACATTTCAAAGCAGGAGTAAAAGCCCATAGGTAATATTTACAAACATGAGTCTAAACTGCTTAAGGCAATTTCTGTTTCCGTAATACAATCCTGGGAGAAGAAACTCAGGTGGGGAAAGTCACAGTGTGGAATCTGACAATGCATTAAGATCTTTCCACCAGTGCAAGCCATTCTGCTTGCCGGATGGAACAACCTCTGCTCTCTTCACCCCACATACTGTCCTGGGGGTTCTCCTGACCCCTAAGAGTGGACTTGGGGGGTGTGCATGGGTCACACGAGGTGGGGGAAGCCCCATTGTGCCAGCATGTGCCCTTGTGGCTGTTTCTGCTAGTGCACTGGGTTAGCTGAATCTAGCTCAGTCTCTAGCATTACATATGCCGACGTCAACACGCTGCAACGCAGAACTGAACTTATAAATTCTGGCTTGCAAAGGCTTCGCTCATGATCAAAAGCCGATAGTATCTGAAGAGGAGGAAGAATGCCAGTAAATTCACAATGCCGATTGTTCTCAGTGTGCTGAGCATGTTTGTGGCAAAAGGAGGAAAAGGAGGGAGGGTACATCACTACCATTATTCTCAGAACTTCATAATGCCAAACGTTTCTCACATGACTGGATTCAACGGATTAGGAGAATGGGCACGTAATTCCAACACAGGGTCTTAGACTTAGATCAATGAGAAAAAAGGAAAGAAGAAAACCACATGCTTACCAAGTTAACAGGACTGCTGACATTGCTGTTCATTAAGGCCACCAGCCCATTCACAAGGTCGCTGGAAAAACAAAACAATACATGACAACACAGCTTGAGCAGGCTTACTTCCTCACGTGTTTTACAGCCTGACTGTCCAAAATGCTGATTTTAGGGGGGAAACCGTGCGGCAGCAACTTTAACAGCCTTAGGTGGGCTTCTAGCAGAGCACATTATGCACTGGAGCAATGAATTTCTGCCTTATCCATTTCCATACAGTACAGTGGTGCCTCGCAAGACGGAAAACCCGCTAGACGAAAGGGTTTTCCGTTTTTCAATGCGCTTCGCAGGACGAATTTCCCTATGGGCTTGATTCGCAAGACGAAAATGTCTTGCGAGTCTTGAGATTTTTTTTGCTTCCCCCCCCCTTTCTAAGCCGCTAATAGCCTTTTAGCCGCTAATCCGCTAAGCCTTTAATAGCCGCTAAACCGCTAATAGCACTAATCCGCTAAGCCGCTAATAGGGTTGCTTCGCAAGACGAAAAAACCGCTAGACGAAGATACTCGCAGAACGGATTAATTTCGTCTTGCGAGGCACCACTGTACCAAGCAGCAGGCGAAAACAAGATGCATTCAAGTAGCGCATTGAAGGAACCATGTGAACAGTTCACATCCAATTTAAAAGTACTAAAAACTGATTTACTTGACCACAAACACAATCTGTGTCTGCCCTCTACTTAAGTATGCAGTGTTCATTAATCTGGGCAGAGAATTCCAGTAGTACTGATTTGTTGTTTTTTAAGAAAACTGCGCTTTCATGTCTTTGTAGCACTAAATTTGGGCATGTGCAGGATGGGACAAATACTGCTACTCAGCTACAAACCTAGGGAAATCTGGCTGCCCTCTCCTCCACCTCAGTTTCCAAATTAATCAAGCTGCCGCTGAATAACAATAATCAACTAAATGATTTAAAACCTCCGGAAAAGTCGTATTTGACTGTAGCAGAATTTTATTATTATTAAAGTTTTTTTATATATATACAGCAAGATAGAAATGGGAGGGAGGAGAAAATAGGGGACTATAGCAGCACTTTAAAGGTTAAGCAATCTACTGTGCCTTTTGTAGACTAGAGCCTTCCACCATTGTCAGTGCACTATCATCTTAAAAGCCCCGTTGGCTCAAATCACTGGTTTCTAAATACAAATTGCATATCCATTGTGCAAACACAAGATGGCAGCAATGGACCGAGTCCTCTAACACGATCATTTTTCAACCCAGAAATATAAACTACTGTCTTCTGAAAACCTGCACTTCGGATTTCAGACTGCTAAGGCAGCTATTTCCTACTTTAGTGTCTGCTATTCTGTTTTTAACAAAATTTGACGTTTATTCAGCACCACAGTGGCATTCAAGACACTGGAAAAGCAGAAGATACTGGAAGGAGTAGGATAGTGCTGGGTTTTTATTGTAACCATCAGTAGGAATCCTAATCTGCGTAAATGATGTAATTGGGGTTTTATTTGTATCCTGCCTTTCTCCCGGTGCATTTTAAAGCTTACAAAGCTGGGATATGCACCTATCTGTGTCACCTTATGTGGACAGAAGTTCTGCCAGAGTATGCTCTGCATTGCAGGGGATCCTGGGTTCAAACCATGGCTTATCTTGCTAAAAAGGATCTTTGGGGTGATGTGAGAGACTTTTGCCCAAGACCCCGCAGAGCCATTGCCAGTCAGTCAGATTAGATAATACAGAGAGGTGGAACGATTGCAGCTTCTTAAAACTCAACGAGGCAAAAGGACGTTTGCTGAAACAGGACTAAGGTTTCCAGTGTTGTCCGCAGCCCCTTTTTCTGACATTAGCCTCAGTGGGACGAAGGCTATCATATGTCCAGTTGTCAAGAGGCAGGCAGAGCTAGAAGGAACTCCAAATCCAAATTTCTCCCAACGGTTTATGGTTCTAAACGCATTGTTTTTTCAGGCCAGGACCAAGGTATTAATGTTGTTCTGGGCATAATTTTGTGGGAGTCATCAGGCAACAAGTGATGATGATGATATTGCATCATTTTTTTCTTAACATTTACACTGCTGTACCTATGCTGTTTTCAAGTCAATGTCTTTTTCTTTCATTCAGAACTACCTATGTGCCCATTGATAAAATGGCAGCACAAAAAATGGAACCGCGATTGATCATGCAATTGCATCAAGATTCCCTTTTTGCATGCCGATCTAATCGAATACATACAAGTATTTGCATGCATCAGAAGCTAATGAGAAAGGGGGGGGTGCAGAGGAAGGCATGAACTGAATACCACATTAAAAAAACAACAGCAACCCTGTGTACATGCCAATTACAAAAGTAACTGAAGAGATTGTCCAAGTTAAATCAGAAAGCAGGTGAAACACAGGAAACCCACAGAGCTCTTAAGGAGGCTTATTTCTAACTGAATTGTGCAGAGAAAAAGGCCTGCTCACACAAAGAGTCAACTTGAGTTATGGGATGGAGAAATAAACTCAGTGTAACATTGCACGGTCCCATTCATGAAACAAAAAGAATTCACTACTCCCACGCGAGTAGTGCTTTTCACATAAGTAGTGCTTTTGCACAATCCAGTCTCAGAATCCACTGGACAGCAGCTGTTTTGTGATGCACACTAAAAGTTTAAGCAGGGTCTCTACTATGGATTCAAATTATTCTACCTTTTCCAAGCTTTCAATGCAAGGAAGAGGCATTGGGTTTGAAAGGTCACAGACTGCTACCCTTTATGTTCTGGTTTTTAAGATAGAAGAAATCACTGGTTTCACACATTGGGATAATGGGCTGCAAGCTGTAAGGGCTGAGAAATACTGATCTGTAGACTTGGGATAGTTAACAATGCAGAGGAAACAGCAAAAAGTAAACATTCTGACATCACTGCATGACTAATGTTGAAATACGCTTTTCTCTTCCCCAGAACTCCACATTCATTCTTCTTCTTTTTTTGTTCAGTGTCCCTTCCTCAGGTATACTGAAACAAGGAAGGTGAAACAAACGTACCTGACATACTGAAATGCTCTGGTTTGAGTCCCAGGCCCATATACCTAGGGGGAAATAAAATAAAATGAGTATTACTGATAAGAAGTATCAATATGTCCATCACTTTTACTGATAAACACATAACTCCTCTCCAATTCCTTTGTGACAAGTGTGTTGAGTGCAAAATCTGTCCTGGTCTGATCTATAATTTGATTATCTATGGCTAGATGCACAGGTTAAACTAGCTCATATACACCTCACAAACATTTTGATAGTCATAGGTAAAGGGACCCCTGACCATTAGGTCCATTCGTGGCAGACTCTGGTGTTGCGGCGCTCATCTCGCTTTATTGGCAGAGGGAGCCAGCATTTGTCCGCAGACAGCTTCCAGGTCATGTGGCCAGCATGACTAAGCCGCTTCTGGCAAACCAGAGCAGCGCACAGAAACACCATTTACCTTCCCGCCAGAGAGGTACCTGTTTATCTACTTGCACTTTGACGTGCTTTCGAACTGCTAGGTTGGCAGGAGCTGGGAGAGCAGTGGGAGCTCACCCCGTCGCAGGGATTCGAACCACCGACCTTCTGATCTGCAAGTCGTAGGCTCTGTGGTTTAACCCACAGCGCCACCCGCGTCCCCCATTGATAGTCATAGGGTGGCATAAATGAGTCTCACCAAGCAGTCTTGTATCCAGAGTTTGGCCAGATCCAGACTGATCTAGCTACAGATTTTATTTCCCTTTCCCTTTTCCCTTTCCTTTTCATAGCATCGCTGCACCAAGTTTTTCTCCACCATCTTTAATGTTCCACTTACAAAACAATGTTCCACTTACAAAACAACATTGTTGTTTTTTTAAGAAAAGGAAGAGTATATTCCAGTTCATATGGAATGAATTTTATTTTTGTTTTGTCAAGTGGAAGGGAACAGATCTTTGTATATGGGTTGACAAAAGGAAACAAGATTTGAAGTCATTCCCTGCGCCTTTGCTGACGGTTTGCAGAGTTGGAAGAATTCGCACCCTTTTTCTTTTCCTGGGGCTAGCTGAGCGACTGGTAACATCAGTTTGTGCCCTAGCAACAGTCTTCTGAAAACACACACAGGCTACAAGAGCCCTGCTTGTACACTGTTGTTTGCCAGAAAGCAAAGCGTGCCAATCTTCTGTGGTTCTCTGGAATAAATCTCATGAGATTTTACTGCTCTTCAAAATGCACATCAAAATATCTTTGCAGGAGAGCCCTCCTGAAAAAAAGCTTGTTATTGACTTTACGACACATTCCAGCTCTGTCCTACTAATATAAAGTATTAATGTAACAACTGGTCATGAAACTAATCCACTATGGTCACTAAGTTAAAAAAAACAACTTAACAGGAAGTTTCATTTTCTTATTTTTACTGGGTGGTACCCAATAGTGTTGTAGGGACGCGGGTGGTGCTGTGGGTTAAACCACAGAGCCTAGGACTTGCAGATCAGAAGGTCGGTGGTTCGAATCCCCGCGACGGGGCTAGCTCCTGTTGCTCGGTCCCTGCTCCTGCCAACCTAGCAGTTCGAAAGCACATCAAAGTGCAAGTAGATAGATAGGTACCACTCCGGCGGGAAGGTAAATGGAGTTTCTGTGCGCTGCTCTGCTCTAGTCATGCTGGCCACATGACCTGGAAGCTGTATGCTGGCTCCCTTGGCCAATAAAGCGAGATGAGTGCCGCAACACCAGAGTCGGTCACGACTGGACCTAGTGGTCAGGGGTCCCTTTACCTTTACCTTACCCAATAGTGTCAACTTGACGGACAGAAAGCATCTGTCTGTGGGAGACCAATTCCCCCTAGTTCCTCCCTTAAATCTGCTCTAAGCATCCAGGGAGCCCTGAACAGATTTAGGGAGGAAAATCTTCAAAGGTTGTCCCCTTCCATATTGTATTGATGGATGCCTCTCATCAGCAGAACCACCACTGGATACAAAAACAGTAACTCAAGCACCCAACTACCAGATGCTATCTCATAACACTAGACATGATTAAGGACCGGTCCAACACATACATCCTTGCCATTTCTTGACTGTAGCATTAAGGGATGGCTGGATGCATGAATAGCTGTCACAGATAAATGACCACAGTCACAACTGCCGGGTTACCCAATATCAACTCAAGGTCCTTTTCAATTGGGACAGTTCACACGTTTAGCAAAGAGGTATTTCATTTTGGTAAAAAATCAACAACAGTGTACATGCATGTTTGAACAAGTCCTGTGTGGAAAACAAATAATTACACTGAAGCTCTATTTTAACTCCTGTTGATAGCCAAATAAATTAGCTGATGTTATGGGGTTTTTTCCAAGCAGAATACAACTGGACATAAAAACAGATTTGTATGGAAAGCTGTTTTTTAGTATATTTACTAAGACTGCAATCCTATGCACACTTACTTGAGATCAAGTCCTATTGAACACAGTGAGACTGCACTATAACAGTAACTGAAGACCTGAATCAAACGACTGTCCATCACAATAGTTTGATTATGTGGTTCAGCGCAAATTCTTTATCTGGAGAACTTTAAGTTCTGCACCGTTTTAAGACATTTTAGTGAACATACAGGACCGTTCAAGTTCAGGGTTCAGGTTCTTAAACCTACACAATTCATACAAATGACATTTCACAAAGCGACAATTTATTTTACTTGGGTCTTCCGCATAAATCCCATGAACAGCAATTGAGTTCAGAGGACAGGATGGTAAATACGTACAGTTAAGGGTTCTCCCTGAAGAGCCTGCAGGATGAAGTTACTAACAACTCTGCCATCATTCATGTGCATCCGAGGGCCAAAAGTATTGAATATTCTTGCCACTCTTACTTCTACGCCCTCCTGGAAGAATAAGAAAAAAGCTTTTTGTTTTTAAAAAATGCACTAATTTTTTTTTTTAATTCTCTATTGCTACCCTACCCCAGACAGAAGATGCCAGTTAACAAGACACACAAAGCCAGCTTCTGCATTTGCTTATGAAAAGGGGGAGAAGAATCCCACATTGCCGTGTTATCTTACGATTTTCATGCCTCTATGCCAGAATAAGACAAAAACATACCCAAATCACTTAACGTGGTTTTAGCATATTCCATACTACCTACATAATATTGCTGTTCTTGGAACTGTTTCTCAGACATCAGTCTTTACCAAGGAGGTCCTAGTTTCAACCAAATGGGTTCCTAATTATTTATTTTTCATCTACTAGACCAGGGGTCAGCAAACTTTTTCAGCAGGGGGCCAGTCCACTGTCCCTCAGACCTTGTGGGGGTCCGGACTATATATATACAGTGGTGCCCCGCAAGACGAATGCCTCGCAAGACGGAAAACCCGCTAGACGAAAGGGTTTTCCGTTTTGGAGGTGCTTCGCAAAACGAATTTCCTATGTGCTTGCTTCGCAAGACGAAAATGTCTTGCGAGTTCCTGCGGGGTTTTTTTCCTCCCCCCCCCTTTTTCCCAAGCCGCTAAACCGCTTATCAGCTGATTGCTAAGCCGCTTAACAGCTGATGCTAAGCCGCTTATCAGCTGATCGTTAAGCCGCTTATCAGCTTATCGTTAAGCCGCTTATCAGCTGATCCTTAAGCCGCTTATCAGCTTATCGTTAAACCGCTTATCAGCTGATCCACTAAGCCTGCTAAGCCGCTAATACTGTAGCACTAATCCGCTAAACTGCTAATGGGCTTGCTTCGCAAGACGAAAAAACCCGCAAGACGAAGAGACTCGTGGAACGGATTCTTTTCGTCTTGCGAGGCACCACTGTATTTAAAAAAATGAACAAATTCCTATGACCCACAAATAACCCAGAGATGCATTTTAAATAAAAGCACACATTCTACTCATGTAAAAACACACTGATTCCCAGACCGTCCTCGGACCGGATTTAGAAGGCGATTGGACCGAATCCATCCCCTGGGCCTTAGTTTGCCTACCCATGTACTAGACTGTCAGGTGCATGAAACAGTTCAAGCAAACCAACAAAACTAATATTGCAGAGTTTGGCCTGTAAGCAAACCATGTTTGGAACCCAAGCACTACCAGGAATAGGAGGCAGTCTATACCAATTGTACAGCATCCTTTCATGCTAGAGAATGTTGGATTTTCACCAGAATCATTCACTCACACCACCTAAGTGATCTTGTATTTCTATATCGTGTGTTGCAGCTCTCAGGTTCCGAACGTTTTTGATTCTGCCGGCCAAATATCACAATCATTACCTGCTTCATATAGGCATAGCACATTGTTTCGGCAACCCTCTTTCCTTCGTCGTAACATGCTCTAGGTCCTATGGGATTCACGTGACCCCAGTAATCTTCGTTTTGTGGGTGAACTTCAGGATCTTGAGAGTGGGGGAGGGAGAAAGAGAGAGGGAGAGAGCGATAATGAGTTTCACTATTCAGCAGCACAGAAAGGGTTACTATTAAGGTACTCTCTACAGCAGCGGTCAGCACACCTTTTCAGCAGGGGGCCGGTCCACTGTCCCTCAGACCCTGTGGGGAGCCGGACTATATTTTAAAGAGGGAAAAATGAACGGATTCCTATGCCCCACAAATAACCCAGAGATGCATTTTAAATAAAAGGACACATTCTACTCATGTAAAAACACGCTGATTCCCTGACCGTCCAAGGGCTGGATTTAGAAGGCAATTGGGCCAGATCCGGCCCCTGGGCCTTAGTTTGCCTACCCATGCTCTACAGAGTAGTGGGTACGAGGGTTGAGTCTTAGGGTTCTTTTTGCCACAATATCAATTTCAAGGAAGTGACACTCTCCACCTCTATAAAGCCTTGTTCCTACTGCTGGGGCTATTTTCAGATACTGTTCGGTCCACTGCTGTTGCTCTGATGCCATTTCCCCCATTTCATTTCTCCCTGAGTGATCCCAGCTAATCAAGGACCACATATGGGATGCAACGTGAAGACACTACAGAGCAAAGGTTGGGCATTCACCAGCTCCACGAGGGGCAAATGAAGCCCATTCAGAGTAACGTCAATGCTTCCTATAGTCTGTCACATAAGAAGTTATTCAGAACTAGCTGGCCATTTTTATTCGGTCTGAAAAGATTTAACGGAAACACACTCAGCTTCTAAAATGCTTTCCCAAGGACTTATGGCTAGAGAAAGGCTAAACTGGGGTAGGAAAATGAATTCAGCATGATTCCCACCCAAGCACCAAAGATCAGCTTGCAAAAAGCATGGGGCTATGAATGTGCCCGCAAACCGCCCTTTTGCCCCCCAATCATTCCTTGCCCCACACGTGATGTCATATATGACATCAGATGTAGGACAGGTGGGTGGGACTTGCTAAAAATGACCAGAGGTTTGCTTACTGCTAGGCCAGAGTAACTCACAGGAAGACACATACCCTACAGATGTCCCATTAGCACAGTGGTACAATAATCACATATTACGCAAGTTGAACATTCTGCTTAATTTGCAGGACCTTCACAACAGGAAAAAACTAAGGCAAATGCAATAGTCCCCAAGCAGGTGGCATCTAAACATACTTCAGTGATGACTTAAGGAAACACATCGGAAACTCCCAAATCAAGGCTTTATGGGGCAGCGTCAACTAAGCCATATTACGCCATGCACTGGTGTTCTATTCGTTGAATGCAGTAAAAGTATTATAGGGACCAAAGAATGAAAAGGATAGTAGTATATTGAAAAGGTAGAGGAGGGATTGATCCTGGAGTACTGAGGTAAAAGTCACACTATCAAGCCCAGTTATCCATGGAAATTAATGCCCCCTAGATTTTAAAATGAAGATCAAGCTTTTTGTTTGTGTAGGTGAGCAAAAAGGAACATTTTAAAATAATATCTTCATCAAAAGCATAGTAAGATCCATTGACTACAGGGCAGGGGGTCAAATGTGAAGGAAAACGTAGCAGATGGAGAAAAACCCTTGCCAGCACTCCCTGCCTTGCTTAAAACTATGCTTGGAGGCCTCCTCCCTTCAGTAAAAGACTAGCTCCCAAATCAGCCACTGCCACGTCCACTTCTTACCTCCATATACTTCAGAGGTAGATGCAAGAAGAAGCCGAGCTCCAACACGTTTTGCTAACCCTTAAAAGAAAAACAAAAAAAGAGGGTGAACTTTAGTGAAAATGAACGAACTCACGCTTATCTTAATTTAATTTTGACCAAAGGGGGCGAAGCAACCAGGAGTTCCACATTCCATTCAGTAGCAGGCTTTGTTGTAAAAGCTTTCAGACCGAAATTTAACTTCTCACCCAAAAAAACACCCTTAAGAACTATACTTTAAAGTGGCTCTGCATTACTCCAGCAGTGCAGACCTCCTGTAATTTTGCAGAACTGATGTGGAGAGCCTTGTGGCATCATAAAGAGGTTCATTATTGCAGCACAAGCTTTAGCAAGAGTTCGTCTCAATGGGTGCCATCTTTGTTGTTTTTGCTAAGAGGGACTTCACATGTGGCTTTTGGGGATTAGACCCTGCCTCTGTCAACCTAAACTACTTCACAGGGTTGTTGCGGGGATTAATGGGGAATGGGAGAGCCATCGGCTCTGGATCCATTCCAGTCCGGCTTCCGCGCTAGTCATGGGAGTGAGACGGCTCTGGTCGCCCTAACAGATGATCTCCGCAGGCAGCTGGATCGAGGCGGGTCGGGGCTGCTGATTCTTCTAGACCTGTCAGCAGCCTTCGACATGGTCGATCACGAACTCCTGGACCACCGCCTTGCCGACGTGGGGATCCAGGGCACAGTCCTTCAATGGCTGCGCTCGTTTCTCTCTGGTCGGGGACAGAGGGTGGCGCTTGGGGGGGAATTGTCATCCCGCCACTCCTTGGTGTGTGGAGTGCCCCAGGGTGCGATACTCTCCCCGATGCTTTTAACATCTTTATGTGCCCCCTCGCCCAGCTTGTCCAGAGTTTTGGGCTGGGCTGCCATCAGTATGCTGATGACACCCAACTCTATCTGTTGATGGATGGCCATCCTGACTCGGCCCCAGACACACTGATCAGATGCTTGGAAGCTGTGGCTGGATGGTTACGTGGGAGCCGGTTGAAGTTAAATCCTTCGAAGACAGAGGTCCTCTGGCTGGGACGGGACGATATGGGATTTAGGGGGCAACTCCCATCTCTTGCGGGGTGCAATTAGTGCCAGCACCGTCCGTTAAGAGTTTGGGTGTAATCTTCGATACCTCCCTCTCCATGGAGGCGCAGATTGCAGCTATAACAAAGGCGGCATTTTTTCATCTCCGCCAAGCTAAGCAGTTGGCTCCTTACCTCTCTCGCCCTGACCTAGCCACTGTGATCCACGCGACGGTCACCTCCAGACTGGATTATTGTAACTCGCTCTACGTGGGGCTGCCCTTGAGACTGACCCAGAAACTCCAGCGGGTGCAGAATGCCACAGCGAGACTCCTTATGGGGTCTTCGCTGCGAGATCACATTCATCCGGTGCTATACCAGCTGCACTGGCTCCCGGTGGAGTACAGGATCAGGTTTAAGGTGCTGGTTTTAACCTTCAAAGCCCTATATGGCCTAGGACCCTCGTACCTACGGGACTCTCCTGGTATGCCCCACAGAGGAACTTACTGTCTTCAAATAAAAACATCTTGAAGGTCCCAGGCCACAGAGAGGTTAGGCTGGCCTCAACTAGAGCCAGGGCTTTTTTGGCTGCGGCTCCAACCTGGTGGAACGCTCTGTCACAAAGAGACAAGGGCCCTGCAGGACTTGACATCTTTCCGCAGGGCCTGCAAGACAGAGCTGTTCCACCAGGCCTTTGGTCAGGGTCCCTCCTTTGGCAATCTTTACAAAACTTTAGTTTATGGTTGCCATCAATTTTGATTTTAATTAATTTTTATAATGTTTTTATAATGTTGCACTATTTTAGTGTTGTTAGCCGCCCTGAGCCTGGCTTTGGCTGCGGAGGGCGGGATATAAATAAAATTTATTATTATTATTATTATTATTATTATTATTATTATTATTATTATATATGCCACACCTTGAGCTCCTTGGAACAAAAGATGGGACAGAAATGCAAAATGAAATACCCAAAAATGCTTACTCTCATCCTGCCCATTTGGAAGTCTAGCACAACAGGCATGAAAGCATAGTTAAGGATTTTCTGAATGCTTCAAGAAATTCCCTGCTACTTGGTATAAGACTACAAGCATCCAAAACAGTTAATGGCCTGTCCGCGTCTATATAATAAGGTAAGGATACTACCAAGAACCCCAAATTTCTGCAAAAGGAAGTCAAGAGAATACATCTTTGGCCAGCCCTTAGAACTCGCTGAATGGCATGAAAAGTGACTTGAGATGGTATAGGAAGTTATTTGTGGCAAATATCCTGCACTATCCTCAAGTGCCAAGAATATCTTCTTTGTAATGACATCAGTCTGCATCACTGGGCATATCCCTGGTTCACCCCATCACACTTGTTCATGAAAGTGGCTACCCTGGGACTGAAGGATGGCAAAAATATACTGTTTGACTTCCCTTAAAATTAGGGATAAGGAAACTGTGTCGATCCAGATGCTGCTGGACTACAAATCCCATTATCTCTGGCCATTGGCCATGATGGCTGGACTACAAATCCTATTATCCCTGGCCATGTTGGCTAAGGTAGATGGGAACTGGAGCCCAACAAACTCCAGAAGGTCACAGGTTCCTCACCCCTGCCCTAAGGCTTGCTGTTATGGCATGCAAGTACTTAGCTTCAAGTAGGGATACCAACTTGAAACAAAAAGGAATGCCCTGCTGGTGTTTCTAAAGAATATTTAAGTCATTTACAAACAGACATACAGGTGCAAACATCTGGAATCAGGATGCTGCGCTTTTCTCCAGTAAAAGTCAGTAGCGATGCACCGTACCATCTCAATGAACGTCAAGCTGCTTATTTCACATAATCCATTCACTGACTCACCCAACATGTTCAGCGTCCCTATGGTGTTGGTCTTTAGCGTCTTGATGGGATTATACATGTAATTTGGAGGGGAAGCTGGAGAGGCCAGGTGGTAAATTTGGTCCACTGTGAAACAATGACAAAAAAAGAGAAGAGTGTTTATTTTACACCAACTTAGTTGGGAGATTAAAAAAGGGGGAAGGAGTTGTAGGTATTCAGGGACACTTCCACCATGCCAGATCTCTTGGATGTGGGAACAGAGCCAATGAGAGAATTGAACTGACAGAAGAAAATGGAAGGCAAGAGTCCAAGAGTGAATAGCAGCCCAGATTTGGAGACAATCACTTCTTCTGACTCTCATGAGCAAGAGCCTGCTTGCAAGGGTCTACTCACAAGCGAGGCAAGACAAAAGCATAGCCGGAAGGCTGCGTTAAAAGGGCAAAAGGAGGATGTTCTTTGGCTCTTCTCTATAAGAGAACCAGAAACTACTGTATGATACATCTCTCTTGTCATCTGGAAGAGCCCAGAGACCTACAACTTGCAGGCTTGTCCCACTGTCCTTCATCACGTTACTCAAATCTCAAACTCAGCAAAGAATATGTTAAAGAGGTGAAGCATGCAATGAGCATGTTCCTATGGGTGCGGAACTAGGAAGATGGGTATAAATGGGATGAGAATATAAACTTATAATATCATTTTCTTAGTTTAAGAGGAGAAAAACACCACTCCATTTGGAACGTACAACCAATTAAATATTTATTCCAAATCCCATTTCACATACAAACGATTTAGGTTTGAATTGTTTCCCTAGACAAATTCTCATCCAATTATACTGAAGCGATGCAAAAATTACTGAAAAACTTTTCTAGTACTAACTTAATCCTTATGGGTTATCGCTGGTTTCTTTTTAACATTTTGGGATGAAAGCTGACTTTCAAAACAATTTTACAGAGAAATCTTTGTTTATAGAGTTTGGCTAGTCAGTTCTAAGGGTGCCATTTAAACAGGCTTATGTGATTTCCGCATTCTGTGGAATTTTTTTCCTTGTCAAAGACACACAGCAAGCACTTTGAACTGTGAAGTATCTTCTTGTTGAGAGAGAGTCACACCGGAATTGCCTTTCATTATACTCAACAAAAAGAAACTATATAATTCATACCCAGCCAAGGCTGAAATTGCGTGCTAAAAACAGGCTGCCAGTTTAATAGCGTCCCACCGGTATTATTTAACCAAAAGCATTTGACTGTACGAGGGAGGTGTTGTAGACCATTAGCAAATTCCAACTGCACAGCTACACCCCCATGATCCAGAAACAAAGTCGTTAGGGGATCTAATTAAACTGGAGTCTGGGATAGGTGGAGAATCTTATTAACCCCCGTTTATATTATAGTCTTGCAAACATGGCAAATGTTTCCCCCCGCTTCTCAAGACAGTGTGTGCCTCCTGTACATTTAGATAAAGATTCATGAAGTTCTGCAGTCTTTCTTAATGAAATAACTCCAGCTTCTAAAAAGCACTTATCTCATGTATTTTTCGCTCGACAATATCGACAATTACATATGTGGCATGTGTAACCTCAAAAGGCAACATATATAGCATAATTTCAATGCTCACATGCTGGTTTGTATGTACCACTGAGCCAAACCATAGTTTATAGCATGACCAATCAAATGTGTGGGCTTTCCAGTGAAAAGATTGGGTGCGTTTTGCTTCTCTCTTCCACTCCTGATGTTAGTTACTGCACAGCTGTGAACGAAGCCATGTTTTGGCTTAGTGTTATGTCAGAACCGAGGCTCCTTTCTTAGTTGAAAAAATTCATAATCTGGGTTACTACTCATGGTCTGCTTGGGGCACAAGTATGGGGTCAGACATAACACTAAGTCAAACCATGGCTTAGCTCACAGCAACAGGTCTAGAGGAGGAGGTAAGCAGTTGTGATCTTTTCACCAGGAGCCCACAGATTAAGTCATTCACACCAAGTAATGGTGCAGTTTAGTATTATAGGCACCGTTTGTTGTTGTTTTTTAATTTCACCCATATTGTCACAGTGTGAAAACAGCATGGGTGAAGAGTTAAAAGGGAAGGGAAGGCAGCAGAGAACTAAACAGCTCAACCTCTGTAATTGCTTGACCATGAGGATGTTACAGAATCGGAACCAGTTCTCATGTTTCCTACGGCCACTTGCTTTGTAATGAGCAGATTCGAGAACTCAAGTACATCCACAAGCAATTTTATTCCAGTGTGACTTCAATGAATTCACTGAGGAAGCACAGTATTATGTACTTGTGATGTCAAGATGCAGGTGAATGAATTTTGGGGTGTGGTGGTGGTTGGGAAATAGCCCTTCCCCGCTGTTCCCACCCAATTTTAAATTGGATTAAACTTAGAAAGTGCCTGAAATTAATCAGATTCAAAAAAAGTAAGATGTCTAGCCTCAACGTGCCCCTGGTATCACAGGGTATCTCAAACTAAGTTGTTCCGGTTGTGCAAGGAATCTCATTTGTGCAACAGAACTTCCCCTCCCCATGTTGTCCAAATCTAATGTGGGGATTCCTCACAATCTCCCGTCAGACTGAGGGTGAGGTGGGGTGGGGGGCTACGGGAGGCCCATGGGGAAGGGAAAGGGGTCCCCTGAGTTCTGTGGCAGAAGCAGAAGCCCTTGTGCTCACAGGCAAACTTTGTGTGGTACAACACTGTGACATCGCCCATGGTCCTCCCCTCTTGGCTAACTTTGTGGGTATGGTATCTTCAGCTGCCCAATTCCCGTGAGGACAGTGGTACTTTACATGCTCCCAGAAGCAACTGCATGTGGACTTAAGGAAAACAGCAGAATTTGCCAGCCACACAGAGGTGGCCATTTACGAGACGACAGAAACAGGTCCCTAATGTTCATGCATGAAGCAGCCCATCTTGTGTCCTCTCGGGGGGACTCACCTTCAATGTAGAGGGGCTCTACGACATCATGATTAATCAGTTCAAAGTTCTCGTGGCCAATCCAGTGTTCCACGTTTCTTTTCCTGCCCGTAAAGAAGTTGTCCACAACTGTAACTTCATGGCCATCCATCATTAGTTTGTCAGTAAGATGAGAACCCACAAACCCTGCTCCTCCAGTTATCTGCATTAGGACAGTTTGCATATAAATGTTTCTTCTCTTTTAAAAGGAAAACACCAGACAAAAAGTCCACAAACATGAATAGAAATCAACAGCAGCTTTCAGAGTTTTTGTTTTTTTTACATCTTGATAGGGGCAGGGGAGGGAAAAAATAACTCCATTTTGTTTTTGTTTTAAATTCAGCTTCAGAGTAGTAAAGATACATCTCACTCCTCGCTTCATGCAACTACAGAATTTGTGAGAAGTTGTTCCTGGGAGGTCAAAAGTTAAGGATGATGCCTCCTGTTAGGTAGGTAAAACAGCATGTTCCAAACTCAAGGAACAGAGGTTTATCCCACGCCACCCTAAATTCACCAGAATAAATGGAAATAAGGAAAACTAGGGAAGATCCACACAGGATTTTCACCAAGGACCATCATGCAAAATGCTTGCTTCTTTTCACAATCCCTTCCCTCCAATAATGGGTGAGAAAACAGCAAGCATTCCTGCAGTGCAGTGTGGTTTGCATCCCATTCTACTTAAATCAGATCTGTCTGGGCCAGGTATAGTCGACGTGGTTTCCCTCCAGATGAACTACAATTCTCATCAGTCGCAGTCAGCAAAGTCATTGGATAGGGATGATGGGAGCTGCAGTTCATCTACATCTGCAAGGCACCAGGCTGGCTACTCCTGGTGTGGATTAACTCAGAGGGCAGGTGCAGATGTCCAGAAATAGCAATGGAAGTCTGACTGCAGGTGGTTGCGATGATGGGATTGCCAATTTGACTTACTCCCATGGTTTTGTTTTTTAAAACAACAACAACAACCACATCTCCTCTCTGCATCTGGAAAACTTTCATATATCTGGGGAGATATATCAAGGGAGAAAAGTGTTGATCTGGACATCTTTCTGACAGCCTAGCTTTCCATGCATGGGAGTGTTTTCCATAGCGGTAGGGAGGTTTTCACAGACACAGTTATCACCAGACTGAAGCACGATTTGGGCAAATCTATGGAAGATGCCAAAGTAGAGCACAATAAGTTTAACGTTGCTACACCCTCATTTTCACAATGCGGGTTAGGACCTTGAGAAACATAATGCATCCAGAAGAAAGGAATGCATTTTTTAAGCAAATGCTTATTTTCCCTGTGCTGCAATCTTTCCTGCAAGTGTCTCTCATCAACTTAGTGCACAGACAGTGAGCCTGAACTATAGGTCACTCGGTCCATAGCTGGTGCCACTTAAAAGTTCGCTCATTTCACACAACATTCCAAAGGGCATAGAAAATAACCGAGCACTATTGAACCACTGAAGAAAACAAATGAGCTTCAGTCTGATGTGGCAACTTCGTAAGGGTCAATTACATAACAGCCAATTTCGGTACTCCGCTAAGGCAATCCAAATAGCAGCTGTGAGATTACAAGTGATTACTAATGCTTTGAACAATTAACAGTGGAAGACTCTTACAGCTACCGAACGATGCACTAACTTGGCTATTTACTTGTTAATTAATATATTCACAAAAGTGATTCTTACTTCATAATGGGGGAATTAAATTTGCTGAATTCATATATTTTTTAAACACACACCAAGAACTTTTTTTTTTAACTTGCCTCACAGGCCAAACAATTTAAAATCTAACTTTCCCCTTATTTGATTCAAATGTCTGACAACAATGTTATCAGTAAGAGAGTTGTGTGCAAGAGACTCTATACATCTCCAGCCATCTAATAAAGACTGAGAAATCTTTCACCCACTTTTAAGCTCACCAACATTTCAGAAGGTTGGATTTTACATTCACAATATTGAATGGGTTATACTTCAATCCATGTATCACTTTGCAAATTATTGCAGCCATAAAGGAAGCAATACCCTAAAGTGTCCGAGCAACCTATTATGGCGTTGGTCCCACCTGTTCTAAAATGAGTTTGACCAAACTGCGGGAGGCAGTGGAAGACAGGAATGCCTGGCGTGCTCTGGTCCATGGGGTCATGAAGAGTCAGACACAACTAAACAAATGTTCCTTTACACATGCATTGCTGGGGTGGTGTTCAAGGAAGAAACTGCCTCCCATTGACCTCATCACTAGGATCATTCATGAATTCGCACTCAAAGCCAAATCAGTAAGCCCAACCATTCTAGAAGTGTTCTGAGGCAACCACTACACCACGCTTCCTCAACTTGTCTTCCAGATGTTTTGAGACTACAATTCCCATCATCCCTGACCACTGGTCCTGCTAGCTAGGGATCATGGGAGTTGTAGGCCAAAAACATCTGGAGGGCCGAGGTTAAGGAAGCCTGCACCACACCCTTCCCAGTAAATTAAGAGCAGCTTTGCTGGATCAGAGTGAAAGTTTGCTGGATCAGCCTGGAGGAACGCAATGCTTCTTCACAGAGGCCAGTCATGGACCCAACAGCTAGTTAATCAGAACCCAAGAGATTTGCACTCAATACCAGACCAGAGGCTACAAATAGTAGTCACAGAACTGCCTATACTGACTGAATTACTTGACAATGTGGTTCTTCCCATCCATAGACGTGACCTTCATGAAAAGAAAGTGTCTTTCTTGTGCAACACCACAGCAACTGGATTGCAACCCAAGTGCTTGCTTGTATGAGTAGAAGGGCTCCTGATTTCGTCCGAATCCCATTTTCTGCTTCCCCGCGCCTCCTGAAAAACCATTCCTGATGAACACATACTGCACAAGCTACTCATTCTGACTGACACAACCTGTGAAAGGTTAGCACAGTCATTCAGGAAATCTAGGCAACTGTGTGATATGCATCTTCATCCTGATAAAAATAACCTTCTGGGGGTTACCGTTCTCTTCTTCAGTTTTGCATACAGTACATATGGGCTCCCCGGCTGTCTCACATCAAACACTCACTGCTTAAGATCAGACCCTCTTAGCTTGAGCAATGTCACACAGTTTTTACAGTCCTGCACTTCTCCCCAGACTGCATTTAAGGGCTGAACACAAGCACATTCGGGAGAGGTGACATCAATGGGTCTTCTTGTAAGTAAATGGGTTTAGAATCAGGGTGTCAAAGCGTTCTTAAAGCCTCACAAAAATCCTGGGTTGCTACATATTAGGTTTACTCCACCAAAACTACAAAGCTCCAGTTCTATCAAACAACAGGGTGCTTATCAAAAGGACGAAGGGCCACCAAATCTTTAATCAGAGTCCAATGCTGTGCTCACAGTAACATCAACAGAATTTCTGATTCACAGCTTTAACGGAAAGTTCATGACCAACACATTGCTCTTAGCTAAGAGTCAATTAGTTTCCATGTCATTTAATTACCAGGAATATTTCAGGTCTGCATTTACAGTCTGCAGCTCCTACACATTATTTAGTGGAGGGTTCCCCAAACTTGGGTCTCCAGCTGTTTCTGGACTACAGTTCCCATCATCCTTGACCACTGGTCCTGCTAGCTAGGGATGATGGGAGTTGTAGTCCAAAAACAGCTGGAGACGCAAGTTTGGGAAACCCCGATTTAGAGATTCAAGGCAGCCAACGTTCTTCTACTGGTGTCAGCTGTTCATTTGGCTCACATTTCAAACGGCTTTCTAGATGTTTGACACTGAGCAATTCTACCGATATCAGTTGCTCACTTTCACCTTTAATGAAAACTACATCAGCAGCAGCAGCATCATTATATGATTATATGTAGAAAATAATTTCATCATGCGGTAGCAGTTTGCCCCGTGATATATGCACATGTGGCTATTTCTAAGTGTGCAGGTGGTGTGCATAAATACTATGTACATGCAGACAGGCATGTACAGTAAGCTCCTGCAGTCAATCGGAAGTCCTGTCGGATGTTCAGCTTCCAAAAATAGTTCGCAAACTGGAACAGTCACTTCCGGGTTTGTGGAGTTCAGGAGCCAAAACCTTCGACTGGCAAGGCGTTAGACTTCCAAGGTAGAACTGTACTACGGAGAGGATTCAAATTGCTTCTGAAATGAAGTCCCTTTCACACAGGCAATTTTGCCTTGCAATTACAGCCTGAACTAGACGGCTGGACGGCTGAAGTAGGTTGTCTCCAGCACTTAGCAACCACAGCTACTCTGCTTCTGATGTCACAGCTAACAGCGCTCACAGATTTGTCTAAGCCTTTTAGAAACCATCCAAGCTGTCACCACAAACTTTGGCAACTAATTCAATATACCTCGAGAGTATGTTTGCATTTGTGCATTTTCAAACGGCTACCAGCTTTTCCAGGGTGCCCCACTGCTGAATTTCTATTCACTACGGTTACTGTGGAGGGAAGAGGGCCTTTACAGTGGTGGCACCTCATTAAAAAATGTCATCCCCAAGGGGGCTTGCCTGGTGCCTACTTAGCACTCCTTTGAGCACCAGTTGAAGGCCTTTATACTTCTTCAGGTGTTTTAATGTTCTAATCTCAACATTCCAAAAATCTGAAATTACTGGAGATGTTCAGAGTTTCTATTTTCTGGTGCTTCTGAGAGCTCATTGCTTTTAGCCTCTGCTCCTGTCTTCATTATAATCTTTTATTTTATGGTTTTGTTTTACATTTACTGTTAGCCACCCAAACTTTCCACTATGGGGCAGCATATAAATATTGTTATTAAATGGAAAAAAAACACACTGGAAAAGAAGGATGCTGAAATAAGTCAAAGCAAGGACCAGCATGAAGAACATCTTTTGAAAAATTATGCCAGTAAAAGCATCGCTCCCTCAAATTCTGAGTTACAAGTCTGTTGCCTGTATTTTGCTTTTTAATACAGAAAACTATGTTCTTTCTAACAAACTTTCTCCTTCACAGGAACCATTTGTGATCTTTTATTTTTTTCCTCCCATTTGAGGTTTCCTTTGGCTTCTCTTAGCACACAATCCATGCCCACTTAGCTTCAACAATACCACAGTGTCTGGGTGCTCAGTCCAGAATTGGGTACTCAAATATTGATTATTGCTTCTTAATGATGCCATCCTTAGGACTATGTCCAAAATTTAAAATTAAATTAGGAAGAGCTAAAAAGCTAACACAAGTACCCTGAATTTTCTTTTCAATGTGTGCCATGCCACAAAGAGACTGGCCATCTTGTTGTTTCTTCTCATTAAACCTATGTAGAAATTTAGGTCACTGATTAGTTCTAAGCAAGTTGCCAACTTACCAAAATTCTTTTACGATCCTTTTCAGATAGGAACTTCACTGGCGGGTACTTCTGAGTAAAACTATGAAACATTTCAAAATGGAAGAATGAGAAATTTTAAACCTTATTGAAGCTGGAAGACTTATCACTGGCACATGTGTTTATCCTACGATGCCCAGTAAACATTACATAAGAGAATCACAAACCATTAACTCCTGGAAGCCAATACATATGAATTAATAAATTAGTACAGTGGTACCTCCGGTTGCAAACGGGATCCATTCCAGAGGTCCGGCCAGATCCCAAGGTTTTCGCAAGCTGAGGAGAAGCAGTAGACCGCTTCTGCGCATGTGCGCACGGCGAAACATTTCCGGGTTTGCCGCTTTTGCAACCTGAAGTTTATGTTACCCAAGGGTAATGTAACCCGAGGTGCTACTGTACTGAGTTGTATCCAACATTAGACTTAGGTGATCAAACATTATAGCCTCCTTAGAAGTTACTAATATCGAATGCCATGGCATAAAGCACGAGTTCTTTGTTCACACTGTGAACTGATCTGCAGCTTCTCTCACTTATCTTCCTGGATGAAAACAGGAATACAAAATGCTTCACTGGTACACAGTGTTGGATGCCAGATGTACCATCAGTCTGCAACAGTACATTCTATTTTAGGCTACTTTTAAATATAAACATGCAATGAAAGGGAGTGGGGGAGAGAAGGTGGTGACAGTTCTAAATATCTAATTAGGTCACGATGACTTTAAAAAATAGTAATTTAAAACTCCCTAGACTGTTGAGGATTTAAGCAGCTACCTCCCAGTCATTAACATATCCTTTATTCGGGAAAGGTACTCGAGAAGGTTGTAGCCATAAGAACCGTAGTCACACTTAGATCAAGAAAATTTGCATTCATTCATTTCAACCTGGTTTCAGCACCGACACAGCTTTGGTTGCTCCAGCACTGAGAGACACACAGGGGAGTGTGCCCTAGTTAATTCTCTTTGATCTGTCACTACCTGCAAAACCATTTCCAAAGAGTTGCATTAAGCGAGCTATGGTCTGCTCCACTGCTGCTGTGCTGTGGGGTCAAGCAAGGTTTCACTGCGTCCCCAATGCCCTATGTAACATCTATCTGAAGCCATTTCAGTCGCCGTGGCTTTTAGAAGGTACCTTTTCTCCAGTTCTCGGATCTTCTCTCTTAAAGGCGCGACAACCTAAAGGCAAAAGTGACAGTTAACACCCAGTGTGGTTTCCTTGCATCAATATATTTCCCCGCAAGAACAACAAATCAAGATTTGTTTTTAAACTACAGATCATAGTTAAAAGAGGAGAGAGAGCTTTGGCTGTGATCCTGGGTTCAGACAACACCCTACGCCAAACTCTGGCTTAGTTGCCACACTGAGCTAAGGCACAAGGGAAAAACAAAGTACCGGTAGATGCTATCTCCTCCTTGGGAACCAGCACTTTCACATTAAGCCACAGTTTGTTATTTAAAATAAAAATGTTCATAGAAAAAATACAAAACTTACTATCAAATATCTTTTTTATTCAACATTAGTCAAAATAAGATAAAGACATACAGAAAAAGGGGAAAAAGGAAGCTAATAAGAAAGAGATAGAAAAGATAAAGTTTGGAAACTAAAGAACTTCCGATTCTTCATCTGCTATATATAAACAATATTCACTTCATCCACTCCAATATAACACCCAACGAAACCACTTTCTATGAACAAACTTTATCTTCAATCCCCAAATCCAAGCGTCATTATTTCCTTTTTTCACACCAAAGTCTACGAGAGGTTTCCAATCTTTAGTCATAATCAAATCCTTATAAACCAGCACAAGTAAGGTGGGGTACAATAATTTAAAACCAATCTTTAGTAAATGTTAACACTGACTTTCCCCTGATTAAACATGTCGATTTTGCTATCTCAGCTAAGTCCATTAATTTTGACAACCATTCTTCCATTGTTACATTAAGTCATGGTTTAGTTTAGCTTTACAAGATGACACAGCCATAAAGAATTGAGGGGTGGGTGCTGCAGTTAGCTGCATATTAGCAGCACTGAAACCAAGATAAAGAATGCCAACAGGAAACCAGCATTTTACTCCCATGACCCATTTCAATCCTGACATACACCGGAAGCAGACATTTGGTGTGCAAAGAGAAGGAGCTTGCATTATTTTGGTTGCATTATTACTGCATTTATATATTTTACGAACACTGATGAATGTGTTACAACCACCCACAAAGATATGGGGGGGGGGGGCAAATGAAAATTGTTTTATATATATTATTATTTACAGCTAACAAGTAGGATCTCAAAGTATGAATGTTAAAGGAAGACATCTTCTTCTTCTTCTTCTTCTTCTTCTTATTATCTACAAAGCAACACACTGGCGTGGAGCCGAATGACTATGAGCTTTGGCAACATTTGAAGAGAAGAAAAATAAAAGTGGCAGCTCCACCGAGGGGACAGAATTGAAAGGAAAGAAGGCTGACACCGAAAGTAAAACAGTGAAAGTCTGCAAAATGCTGACTGTGGGGAAAGCAAGGATTATAATACTGGATTATCCAGCGTACTGACCTCTTCAATCTTATTTTCTACTTTCTGATCACTATTATCCTGGATAGACCTGTTGGGAAGAAAACCATAAGGAAAACTTTAAAAATGGCCAAAGATCCACCAAATCCAGCGATAGAAGTTCAGCTAGAATAGAGTAAGCCCTCAATTTCCATGGGGGTGACTTTACGGGGATCACACCTAAAGCCAAAATTGGGCATAGTCATTGGGTGCAATTTTGGGTGGGGTTGCCAAAGTCTTCCCCTCCCCAAGAGGCTTGCCCGCCTTTTAAATTTTGTTTAAAAAAACAATGCCAAGCATGTAAAACTGAATGCGCACAAGTTAAATGAGTGTACAGTGGTGCCTCGCAAGGCGAATGCCTCGCAAGACGAAAGAGTTTTCCGTTTCTTGAGTCGTTCCGCAAGACGAATTTCCCTATGGGCTTGCTTCGCAAGACGAAACGTCTTGCGAGTTCTTGCGAGTTTGTTTCCTTTTTCTTAAAGCCGCTAAGCCGTTAATAGCCGCTAAGCCGCTAACAGCCGTGCTTCGCAAGACGAAAAAACCGCAAGACGAAGAGACTCGCGGAACGGATTAATTTCGTCTTGCGAGGCACCACTGTAAGTTGCAGACTTACTGTAGAGATGGGGAACCTCCAGATGTTGTTGGACTCCAACTCCCATCAGCCTTAGCTAGCATAGCCAATTGTCAGGGATGATGCAAGGTAGAATCCAACAACAACTTCCAATTCCTTCTGCCACACCTAAAGAGTACAAAACTTAGTTGGGAAACCCTACATGGGGTTCACCAAAGGGGGAAAACCCTCCACAAGTATTCCTATGTTTGTAAGAATTGTTTCACAACATAGGTCAGTTTTCCCTCAAACTTCTCAAAGTTGTTGTTGGACTATAACTCCCATCATCCCTGACCACCAGTCCTGCTAGCCAGGGATGATGGGAGTTGTAGTCCAACAACAGTTGGGAGACCCAGGTTTGGGGAAAACACATTGACACAGCTGCATAGCATGTAGGATGCACACAAAGAAAAACTCTTGAGTTTGTGCAGACCCAGCTCCTGCACATAGAATGTCGTGCGTGATCTGAAGCTTGGGTCATGCACACCTTTGCATAAACGCTATCCCAGATATGATGCTCTATAAAAAGTGTGGGAAGCCCCTGAAAGTTACAAGTCAATCCTGTGCCCTTTCATACACCAGAAACCTGTGGCTATATATGCCCTTGTTCTGGAGTAAGAGAATTAAACCAGGAGTGATTAACCTCTGGCCCTCAGTGGTTGTATGCAACCGCCCATCATCCCCAGTTGCTGACCGTGCTGGCAGGGGATATTGGGAGTCAAGAGTCCAGCAACTTCTGAAGGGACAGAGGTTAGCTACTCCAGAGTTAAAACTGTTTTGTTACCTTAAGAGTCGTTTGTAGAAAAGGTTCACTGGGTGAAACCACATCCTCAGCCGAACTTGTTTAATCTTATGGGCATCAAGTGCTGATAACACAATCAGAGCCTATGAAACCCACACAGTTATATGGATTTTCTACAGCAAAGAACCCAGGTCACTTTCAGCCACAGGATTAGCACCAGTAAATGTTTATTTTTACCAATGGAGTAATCCAATCTGACTCTCCACTTACAACGGGAAGCAGGAGTGGCCTTTTTCTTTCTTTCTTTGGAAGGAGCGTACAGTTATTTTCGGAAACACAGTTCTGCTGAATGCAATCTCGTAATAATTGATAAAGCTTTTGGAACACTGACTGCAAAGCACACACAAAAGAATTGGGGCATAGGAAGTCAAGGATATAGAGTTGTATCTAACACTGTGCAAACAGACAGGATGTATTCCCCCTTCTCTTCCTGCACGCCCACAAATTCTGCTCCAGACAATCCCCCGGAGCAGATTTTTGAGGGTGCAAAGGAAGAAGAGAAAGAAGTTTCATTAGACAAGCAGAAGTCTATAGAGTGAATGGAATGGTTAACATTGGACAAGGCCCATAGTTTTTGCAAAGACAACAGTGACAATCTCTTCCCCACTCTGATAATCTTCTGAAGGACATTTGCATGGCTAATCCCAACTGAGATATTGCTCAAAGAGGCATGCTCCTTTCAAAAACAGCAGCATGCCACTCATATATTAACTCCAGCATAAAAAATGCTCCTGGAGGACTCATGCAATGCCTTCACTAATGACAAATCTATCACTGTTGTTCCCGAGTTTGCACCCCAGGAAGGAGAAAGGGGAAGAGACAGTAAAGGGGGGGAGGGCAGAATAGTTATAGGGCCTTGTCCCACACTTGTGGATGGGCCTTTTCAACTGCCACTTTTTTCTTCTCACGCCAAAAATTTGTGGCTGACGACAACATTTTTAATCAGAGAAACTGAATGTTTCCTGTTATCTTCCATTCCATGGAAGAAGGAAAGGAAGGTTGGGGGAAAAGATACTTTTTGTTGTTGTTGTTCTGACAGAAAGAATAATTCTACTTCACATCCTCACAGACATACAAAAGGGGAAAAAGAAGCAGTCGTTGTTACCTCATGTTGAGTACATTGCCCCATACAGCTGTGGGAAAAGAAGAAGAATTAATTAGTGTTGCTTGAAAATATTTTTAAATCAATTCAGAAGACATTCATTTCAAGTATTAACGAGGTGAGCTTCATTAGGGTAAGAGCAGGTATTCCAGAAAACAAGTCATACTGTATATATCAAATGATTATTGGACTTTTGGGATGCTGAAATATCCCAAAATAATTAGCCCTCCCAAAGTACTGAATGTTAATTGTCACAGTCAGGAAAACATTCAGCATTTCAAGCTGCAACAAGCTTCAGGTAGCCCAAATCTGGATGTGCTTAATATACTTCTCCTTCCCATACAAATTACTTCACAGAAGGTTTCCAAGTAGGAAATAACGTACAACACGTATACATTGGTAGCTCGGGTTAAGAACTTAATTCGTTCTGGATGTCTGTACTTAACCTGAAACTGTTCTTAACCTGAGGTACCACTTTAGCTAATGGGGCCTCCTGCTGCTGCTACGCCGCCGCCACGTGATTTCTGTTCTCATCCTGAAGCAAAGGTCTTAACCCGAGGTACTATTTCTGGGTTAGCGGAGTCTGTAACCTGAAGCGTATGTAACCCAAGGTACCACTGTATTATCATCACATACAACAATCATACTAGACTATTCTGTGAAGCTTCCCACAGGCGGCGGCACACCAGAAAAAAGCCATCAGATATGACTAGATACCACCAGGTTACAAGTTATTTTATTTACAGAAGTACCATATGCATAGAAATCCTCTAGCAAACTAAATGGTCCTTAATTTTCCACTTTCCTGCATCGTATGCCCCACTGAGCACACATCATGTTTGAAAGGGGCGCCATGAAGACCCTTGACCTCAGCATTGTGGGTTTGAGTCCCACGTTGGGTAAAAGATTCCTGCATTGCAGTGGGTTGGACTAGATGAGCCTTGTGGTCTCTTCCCACTCTACAAATCAATGATAAGTCAGAGAGGGGCAACCTTCCATGGGTCAACATGCCGGGGAGGGGTGGTGGCACAGAGGCAAGAGCAGGCAGCGCAATGGATGTAACTGTTCAGCTCTGCACAGTAAGCTAGCTTCCATACGCACTGACACAAATCTCTCTCATCACGCAAGAAAGAGGCATTGTGGCAGTTTAAGGACGCATTTCAACCTGGCAGAAATGCTTGAGGGGTAAAGCAGAGCTGGTGAAGAGAGTATGGGGCGGCGGTGCATTCAATCCTTACCGCCTGGTGTCCCCTGCTCCTGGCCCAGAAGAACAAGGACCCCTGGGAGGAAGAACTCATGAGGTAAAATAAATGCCAGCCTGGCCCCAGACATCGGGTTCCTTGTCCACAAAGAACCCGAGCTGCTCCAAGAAGTGCAAGGTGTGAAGCAGCTTCGGCTTCTGCTGCTGGCCAGAAGACCAAAGTCACCTTCACCCCCCTCAGGAACTCACACCATTGTAGTCAAGGAAGAATGTCAGATAGATACAAAGGCCTGCTTACAGTTCCCTAATTTATTCTGGCATTGTCAAAGGCATTTCTCTTCTCTGTGTTTTTTCTCCTCTGCACCTCCCTTGTGCAGATTGCCTCTTCAGTTTACAAAACCTGAGAGCTGGGCCTGGGTCTCATTTTTGCATCTGGTAAAGGCAAAGGTAAAGGGACCCCTGACCATTAGGTCCAGTCGTGGCCGACTCTGGGGTTGCGGCGCTCATCTCGCTCTATTGGCCAAGGGAGCTGGCGTACAGCTTCCGGGTCATGTGGCCAGCATGACTAAGCCGCTTCTGGCGAACCAGAGCAGCGCACAGAAAAGCCATTTACCTTCCCGCCGGAGCGGTACCTATTTATCTACTTGCACTTTGACATGCTTTCGAACTGCTAGGTTGGGAGGACCAGGGACCGAGCAACGGGAGCTCACCCCGTCGCGGGGATTCGAACCGCCGACCTTCTGATCGGCAAGCCCTAGGCTCTGTGGTTTAACCCACAGCGCCACCCACGTCCTTTCGCATCTGGGCTGTGCCTATTTTTAGGCAGTACTGTATTGAAATTTTGACTGTCAACAGCCACTGAGGGCGGGGGGACAATTGTTCTTTGAGAGGAATGGATGTTTGTGAATCACTTGTCTTGCTCCCTGGGTGCTTTCTCGTTTAGTGGTTTCACATGGAAATATTCTACATATCGTTAAGAGTGGCCAACTCCTTTCTCCGGTTGACAGCCATGTTCCCTGTTGGCCAAAGCTTCCCAAGAACCCAGCTCCTGGTGGCGACAGAGAATGGCCAAAGCAGAAGTGGGAGCAGCTACCCCACATTCTCTCTTGTGCATGCAGAGACTTGAGTGCAGAGCACAGACGTGAAGACACAGAGCAAAAAATGGTAAAGGAGCCCTGGACGGCTAAGTCTAATCAAAGGCGACTATGGGGTTGCGGCGCTCATCTCGCTTTCAGGCTGAGGAAGCCGGCGTTTGTCCACAGACAGCTTTCCGGGTCATGTGGCCAGCATGACTAAACCGCTTCTGGTGCAACGGAACACTGTAACGGAAACCAGAGGACACAGAAACACCGTGTACCTTCCCACCGCAGTGATACCTATTTATCTACTTGCACTGGTGTGCTTTCGAACTGCTAGGTTGGCAGAAGCTGGGTCAGAGCAACGGGAGCTCACTGTGTCGCAGGGATTTGAACCGCCAACCTTCTGATCGGCAAGCCCAAGAGGCTCAGTGGTTTAGACCACAACGCCATCCGCGTCCCACAGATACAGAGCACCCCACCCCTGCTCCTCTGCCAACCAGCTGGGGAATGGGGAGTTGGTTTTTCCGTACTATTGCAGTTCTGGGTGGAAAGGAATGTCTCTGCCTGGCTGTGTCAGAAACTCAGATATACAGTCATTGGGGGTGGGAGTTCGCCTTCTTTGAATTCTATGGTTTTACATATCAGGACAGAATCATCTGTTCCTTGGCAGGTCTTAAAATTAGGTAAATGCAAACTCAGATGAATAACAGCACGTGGCATATTACACTGCATGATGATTTACCATTAAGTTCTACTATGGATGAGTGGCTTAAAGATATACAAGAAATGCAAGCAAGCTTCCAAACACTTCCTGGCTGTGAATGTGACTGAAAACAGAATGCTAGCTCTTTCTTATTTGTCTACAGAGAAAATAGTATCAAATGCATTTTAATTAGTGTTCTTGCATTTTAAAAATCGTTTGTTGTTTTAAGCTACTGATCACAGTAAGAGCACCCAGAAACACTTAATTACTTTAAAACTATTAAGAAAATATGGGAGAAAACTGAAATAACCATCATCAGTAAAGTGTGATTTTATTCTTTCGATGATGGCTTTATAAATTTAACAAGCTGACCATTATGTGCGAAAGAAAGCAACAATTCCAACCTTCTCTTTAATATACAGTATTCTGAATCCAGACACAGTAAACATTCAAATTCTTTGATACCTGATTAAGCTTCTTTGAACAGTGTGTGTGTGCGTTTTAGTATGTTCTATGGCCTTGTAATTTAAAATTGTTGCAAGTTGCCCTGAGGAGTGCACAGAACACAAACACCCACACACCACAAAGCATTTATTCAGTGACCTTAATTTGCCTTAAGGGCATGTCTACACACTTCCAAGGCCCATTCACTACACAAGACACACTTAATGGACTGGTTGCTAGCCAGCCGGGTTGCCAAGAGCCATGGGAACAAATCAACAAACCTGCCCCAGATTTTAAGCATGCCTTCCTAATAATGCGCATCCTTCGCAGAATCAAAGTACCGTACTTTTCCAGCTATAAGACGCCCCCATGTATAAGACGCCCCCTATTTTTAGGAACTCAGGTTTAAGAAAATGGGGGAAGATGGCACAGGGTTGTTAAACTTTTTGGGGGAGGGAATACTCAGGGTTGAGCTTTTCTTTAGGGGGGATGCAGAAAATCGCTCACCCACACACGTCGCAAAATCCGCCTCCCATCTGTCCCAGTGTCAGCCAATCAATACCACCCATTGACGCAGCAACCAATCACACGCGCAATAGCTGCTGACAGACGTGGTAGCAACCAATCAAACGTCCACCCTATGTACTACCCATGTATAAGACGACCCCCACTTCTTAGCATGCTTTTTAAAGGAAAAAACAGTCTGATACATGGGAAAATATGGTATTTTCTAAGGCTGATGGGTGCTTAAAATGAAAAAGGTGATAGAACAGCTTTTAAACTGATCCTTGGAGGAAAAGGCAACAGAAGCCTCCAAGCCAAGATGAACAAGCACTTCGTTTCAAAGGAGGCACAGATATAGTGAACGTAACTGAAATGAACTAAAACCCCAGGTAAGGATTCCCTCTTGTGCTCTGCCCACACTCGCTTTTTAGGATGCTTATCATTCGTGTGAATTAAGGGAACGATGCACAGGAGCAATAAATCCGCTGAAAGAGAGCCGAAAGCATGCCTGCGAGCAGATCACGCACAAGTGCTCATGAGAATCGGGCATAGTCAATGCTGAAAATGTTTAAATGTGTCCCACCAACAGCACCAAAACAGTAGGACCTTACAACAGACGCCACACCTTCTGGATGCAACCAACGGCAGCTGCCAGAAACTCTCTTGATGTAGGTGAGAGAAGCCAGCTAATGAGAAACATAGCAATTTAGCAGTCTGAAAAGAGGAAATGGGTGATCAATAGGGAGTAATTAATGGGCAATAACTGGGAAGGCATGGGACGCGGGTGGCGCTGTGAGTTAAACCACAGAGCCTAGGACTTGCCGATCAGAAGGTCGGCGGTTCGAATCCCGTTGCTCAGTCCCTGCTCCTGCCAACCTAGCAGTTCGAAAGCACGTCAAAGTGCAAGTAGATAAATAGGTACCGCTCCGGCAAGAAGGTAAACGGCATTTCCGTGCACAGCTCTGGTTCGCCAGAAGAGGCTTAGTCATGCTGGCTACATGACCCGGAAGCTGTACGCCAGCTCCCTCAGCCAATAAAGCGAGATGAGCGCCACAACCCCAGAGTCGGCCACAACTGGACCTAATGGTCAGGGGTCCCTTTACCTTTACCTTTAATGGGCAATAGCTGGGAAGACAGGAAAGCATCCAAATTAAGAAAATTTTCGCTTCACATGCTATACCACGTATTGGAGCTGGGAGGGGAGCAGTGTAGTTATTTATTTATTTTTTCTACCTTAAAAACTGCCTTGCTGCATAGTTCTAAGCGACTCCATTCTGGCAAAACGGGTGCGCATTGTTTGACGGAAAACACTGGAAACAAAAGCTCAAACAAGTGCTGTGGCAACAGTTCCTCTGATGGAGCTGATATTTAGTCACAAGACCCTATCGGGTTGCATAAACAGAAAGGCAATTCTTTTATTAACTTCAAGAAACTTCAAAGCCACCAACCCGCCCTAAAAGCCGTGCTTGTGAATCCATTAGCTGCATTTTACCATTAACTACAGCGGACAATGAGCCAATTGTTCCTGTCGCGATTTAATTACAGAACCATAAGAGTTAATTAGACACATTACAATTTTAGGCACTTTACCCACACCAGACTAAGTCATGGTGCACCTATCTTTGAGAGCAGACGTGTCAAAAAATGATATACTTTCCATGAAGGCCAAGATTAAGTTTGATTTTATGCTCCAAGCTTCAGCAAGCAAGCATTCGCTTTAAAGTTGATGACAATGGGTTGCATCCACCTTAGCGCTGGGTGATCGTTCTGTCAGTGCGATGATTTCTGCTTGCACCTTGGAACATTATCTCTCTCTTCCCCGACCCAGACCCCCCAAAATCTGTTCTAGGGATTCACTCCAACCCCCTGGAGCACATTTGGGGCAGGTGTAGGGACATGCAGGGGGAAAGGTAAAAGTCCCACTGCACAAGCAGAAATCCTTAAGCTGATGGGACGCATTTAGTTGAATCCCACCCTCTATCTCTTTGACTTGGCAGGCATTATTTCACCCACTGTATCGCATTAACTGGACACCTCTGAACCTGGATTTCAGCCTTGCTCTGGTACAGAAGCTACCTTGATGGCTCTGAAAAACATTCAGCCACAAGTACATGTTCCTTAGAATCTAAATAATGCCTTTGTTTTGGATGAACTGCACCTAGTTTTTCGTTTCAGTATGTAAATGCTAATATTTTACCATATTCCAAATATGAATCATTCACAGAACTATTCCTGTAATGGCAATTCTGAAATAAGGGGGTGGAGATAGGCCATTGCCACAAAACCACTTAATCATTTTTCAAGGAAGCATCAAGACAGCTATTGCCAGCGCATCGACCTGCAGAATTGGATCGATCTTCTCAGCTATTAAAAGCTACTGCACTTAAGCGTTATCTGACTTCTACAGAGAACTGAAGAAAATCAGCAACAACAAAACATATCACCCTTTCAGAAAATACTTATTTATTTGTTGCTCTGGGGCCAATCTCTCACAAAGCAAACATACACAGAAAAACAACACAATATATAGAACAGCAGTGAGCAATGATCATTCCTCCCTTAAAAAGGTAAAGGTAAAGGACCCCTGACAGTTAACTCCAGTCGCGAACGACTCTGGGGTTGCAGCGCTCATCTCGCTTTACTGGCTAAGGGAGCCGTTTGTCCGCAGTTTTCCGGGTCATGTGGCCAGCATGACTAAGCTGCTTCTGGCGAACCAGAGCAGCTCACGGAAATGCCATTTACCTTTCCGCTGAAGCTGTACCTATTTATCCACTTGCACTTTGACGTGCTTTCGAACTACTAGGTTGGCAGGAGCTGGGACCGAGCAACGGGAGCTCACCCCGTTGCAGGGATTCGAACCGCCGACGTTCTGATCGGCAAGCCCAAGGCTCAGTGGTTTACACCACAGCGCCACCCGCTTAGTAACACATAATTTACTACCTCGAGTTAAGCTACTGAGACCGCTACCATTCCAGAGGAACTTAAAAGTTCACCTCAATGGCCTTTCGGATTCTGTGCTTTCAAGAGAAATTTGTTGCGTTATTTCTGTTAAATAAATGCTTTTATTGCCGAGTAGCAATTTCTGAGCACTCAGAAGTGAAATATTTTGTGCCTTTGACAGCGCAACGCTTTTTGCCTAGCTAGCATACTATTGTGACTGCTATGGGGAATATTATTTACTCATGGGAATTTACATACTGCTTAACCACCCGCAACCTCTAAGCAATTTACACAAATTATAGAATGTCCATCAAAAAAAAAAACCCCACTGTTAAAACTGAACACTTGCATGGCGGGCTAGATGGGAGCGGTGTCACAAAACTAGTCAGCATCTTAGGCACCCAAGTGGATATTGTTTGTACCATAACTAGGGACAAGAAATACAAGTCCCTCCTCCACATCTCCACCCTCTTGCTTACGTGTACTAGTTTGTGAAACATTTCTATTCTTAATTACTATTATTAATAATAATACTAGGAGTTTTCAAATGTGCAGCAACTGTAACAACTAACACACCTTGCTGAAGATTACAAGCCCATTCCACTACACACATAGGCTATGCCAGTTAAGTAGCTGAAATAAACCTGAGGCACACTTTCAACAAACACACTCAAATACTTTCTTTCATTACCCACTTACTTACTCAAATATTTCTAGGCCTTTCTGGACCACCCAAGACAAGAGGCGATGTCTACAACATACTTTAGAATGTAAGCATTACTTCACCAGTTAAAGCAATAAGCTGAAGCCCTAGGGCTTGTCCTTACATTAAATGACTACAATGCTCCTAAATAAGGAAACCCTGGAGACATTATATTACGCAAAGAAGAGCGTGCCCTTAGTTTGCCTACTGCTCTATCTGGACTGTTGTTTGTTTCTCCTTTTAAGCGGAGTGGAAACTGCTATGAGCCACCAGGAAAACTCTGGGGATTTTCTCCTCGCTCCTTATCGGTGCAACAAGATAGTGCATCAGATGTGCCTATATTGCAACCCTGAAATGTGTAAGCCTGAATGTACAAAAAGCGCTAAACCATAGGTTTCCGAACTGTGGCCCATGGTTTGGACAATCATTATTCCACAAGCGTCATTCAGGTGGTCCGCATGGTGTCTGTGGATTAATGGTTGAAGAAGAAAAAAAGAACAGCACATCAAATTAAATATTTATATTAATTTTTAATTGTATTTTTGTTGCTTTTAAATACTATATTGTATTTTATTGTACTACTTCCTTCCACTGCCACCACATTCAGGGATTTGACCACTGTTACCTAAAGCAGAAATGGACTCTTGCCTTCCTTCTGCAGCAAAAACAACAGAGCCATGTCAGTGCGCAGACTCTAAAGCAAGGCCCACGTTAAACTACAGCTGAGTGGGAAAGCAGATGATCTGCATGCAGAAAGTCTCAGGTCTGATCTTTGATCACTTCAGTAGCAGACCATGGGGAAGGCACCTGCCTGATCTAGCCCTGTGGGTTATATCCTGTGCTGTCTTTCTAGAAAGAGGTGCCCACCATGAATGCCTCCCTTGTTCTCTTATAAAGTCAATGGCACCCACCTGAGAGGTACCAGAACTGAGTTCCTGATGGGGAAAAAAGCCCTGGTTATATCCATCTTCTCCAATCTGTTGTTCCTCCCATATTTTTGACTATAATTCTCATCAGCCCCAGCCACTGTGGTGAATGGTGAGGGATGATGGGAGCTCTAGTCCAACGACACCTGAAGGGGGCTTGGTTGGGGAATGCTGGACAAGAGGGTTCTCCCAGGATTTATGTTCAACTTCCTCGCTGCTGCAGCCTTCATGTTACAAAACATGTGTGGAATATCTGCCTGTCCAGTATGTTTCCTCTGCGCAAAACCTCTGTGCGTTTGTTCTGCGCAAACCTCTGTGGAAAACCTCTTCAGGCAGTAGCAGAGTTGAAGAGGTTAGCCACAGCAAGGTCAATTAAAGTACAAGTTATTACTTAATTAGTTCAGGCTGTGAACTATTTGTGGGATGCGAAAAATTGCCATTTCTCTTTATTACACTTTTATAGTGCCCTGCCTCCATGGCGTCAGGATGGCATACAAGGTTCTCCTCAGCCTATGTGACACCGAGACAAACACGGACAACTTTTTCTACAGATTGGCACTGTGCTTACAGGTTGTACTGTGCTTACTGCTGACAGGTCATCTGATTCTTCTTTTGCACATACAATGCCAGATACTTCGCTACCAGTCAAACCCGATATTTGCAATGGTACAAAACATCAGGATCTACTGTCGTGACATTTGTGCACACACACACCCAGTGGGAAAAGCCCACAAGCGGGCCTTAGTCTAGAAGGAGCCTCCTTATGTGCTCCTTTCCAGCACATTTCCATAAATATCCTCAAACTGACCGATACCTCCTAATGGATGTGAAAAGGCAAACCCTGCTTGTGGTGGTGAGATGGACATTTGCCACAATGCAACCCTGGCAGGGGGAGGGGGGCAGGTGAAGAGAGAAAGAGAGAGAATATAAGCCTGGACACTGGAAACAGGTCCTGTGAACAAGCCATTGGTTTAATTCAGAGAACCAGCAGCAGAATGTTTTTATTAGGTTTCCCAGCTAAAAAGAGACACAGCTGTGGTAAATACAAATCATAAGCACAGGACACAACTATCTTTCTGTTTGATTCAGCCTGCGATGCTGACTCCACTTACCTTTTTTTAATTTAGCAGGGCTTACTCCTGTGTAGACATAACTGTTACACTGCCATCACCTGAGAACACAGAGAAGCTTCTCTCCTCCACTGCCAAATACACACCACAAAATCTCAAAGCACACTCTGGTCAGTGTTCAAATACGGACTTGGGGCCTAACCTGGAGGCACATTCACGGTCGGAGGTTTGGAGCATTTTGCTTTTAGACTTTGCTAAAGTTTGGACGCTTTTGAATTATGGTGTTGGAGGAGACTCTTGAGAGTCCCATGGACTGCAAGAAGATCAAACCTATTGATTCTGAAGGAAATCAGCCCTGAGTGCTCCCTGGAAGGACAGATTGTGAAACTGAGGCTCCAATACTTTGGCCACCTCATGAGAAGAGAAGACTCCCTGGAAAAGACCCTGGTGCTGGGAAAGATGGAGGGCACAAGGAGAAGGGGACGACAGAGGACCAGATGGTTGGGCAGTGTTCTCGAAGCTACTAATGTGAGTCTGACCAAACTGCGGGAGGCAGTGGAAGACAGGAGTGCCTGGCGTGCTCTGGTCCATGGGGTCACGAAGAGTCGGACACGACTAAACAACAACAAAGTTTGGACGACACCCCCCCTCCCCCCCCCCAGCCACCCAAAGGGGCAGAAACCGCCATCAAGAGGTTTCCCTCCTGCCGGCTGCCGCTGAAAAACAAATACGTCAAGAAGCGACGGGGACTTTGCAAACTTCCACCAGAAACTCTTGACTCCCCCCAGAACCTTTTGCAAAAGAAGAAGGCGGAGGAATTGCTATGTCACATGTGTCTCCCCACCACGTCGCTCTCCTCCCTCCTTGCCTTCCTTCCAGCGTTTGGTGCAACCCCTCGGCTGCTGCAATTTGCAAAAATGAAAAACAGAGGGAAAGCGCGCGGTGACCCCCCTCCATTTTGGGAAGAGGCGAATGAATGGGAGCCGCCACCCACCCACCCACCCTGCCCGGGCACTTACAGGCGACGTAGGCGACCAGGGCGAGCCCCATGAGCAGCTTCATCCTCCTCCTCCTGTTGACGGCGGAGAGCACGCGCTGCAGCGCCCCTTTGCTCAGCATCCCCGGCGGGGCGGGCGGCGGCGGCGGCACAGGGAGGCCCGGGGCGCAGCGGACGGAGCTCAGGCGCCGACAAGCATATGCCAAAAACACGACGCCGGCGTCCCCGGAGCGCCGCGCCACCAGCAGCGGCGGCAGCAGCAGCCGCTGACGACGGAGGAGAGCCAATTCCCGGCCGCGACGACGACGCGCATGCGCACACGGGCAAAGCGGCTCTTCCTTTCCTTCCTCGCCGGGCTCGGCCCGCTATTTCCAGGCGACGGAAGGGGAAGGAGATGACGCGGAGGTGGGAGGGCCTGAGGTCACGCTGGCTCACTGCGCATGCGTGGGAAGAGGGGAGAAATTGTGATATTTTTTTTTTCCTGCCTCGAGGGTTCGCTGGCTTTGGTGGGGAATTTCAGATTAGGAGTGGATAAAGGCTGGGCTATGCAGAATTAGATAAGATGACAGGAAGGATTCGAAACCTGCGGGACCAGAGATTCTCAGAGGACTGGGATAAATATGTGAACTATCTGAAAAGCAACTGTAATCAACAATTGTAGGATTACAAGAAGTTTTGTAAGGAGGAATCTATGAAATATCGCAAGGGAGATTATGAAGAGAGTTCTTAGTTAAGAAAATTAAAAGTAATAGTGAAATTAAGAAATGTAAATTAAGTGGAAAAGATTGGGGAATTTTCAGATGTGATTGATGGAAGTCAAAAATTGTATAAGATATGAAAATGCGTTAAATGATTGCTGAAAATTATATGTTAAAAAATTACGGTATATATATATAAGGAGTGGATAGAGGCGGTTGGTTTGGTTACGCAAATTTTATATATGTTGGAAGCCTCCCAGAGGGGCTGGGGCAACCAAGTCTGATGGGCGGGGTATAAATGATAAAAATTATTATTACTGTTATTGGAAGAGGACGTCCCTATTTTCATCAGAGAAACGTTGGAGGCTTTGCGCTCCAGGCAAACATCAGCATCGGCATCTGCTGCCCCTAAGGATCTTGCTGCCTGTGTAATGATTACTAAACGCATGGGGGAAAACCTTTTGATGTCCCAAAGGAAGCCCTTAAAACAACATACCCTCCAGCATTTCTCTGATGAAAATAGGGGCGTCCTATTCCATTTTTGTTTTGTTTTAATACCCTGCCCATCAGACTGTTTTGCCCCTGCCACTCTGGGCAGCTTCCATCATACATAAAAAACAGAATAAAAGGAAGAGCTGTTTTGACAGCAGAGCAGGGTACCTTAGAAAAGTTGGTGGAGGTTTTTAAACAGGTTGGGTTGCCGTCTGTCATAGATTCTTTGGCTGAAATTCCTGCATTGTAGGGATGCTGGACTAGATAATCCTCAGGGTCCCTTCCAACTGGACAATTCTATGATTAAACATTAAAAAACCCAAAAAAACTTCCCTATACAGGGCTGCTTTCAGATGTTTTCTAAAGGTTGTATAGCAGACCCTCCAAGTGTCCCTATTTTCCAGGGGTGGTCCCAGATTTCCAGAAGCTGTCCCAGTTTCTGATTTGATCCTGGAATGTCCCGCTTTTCCTAAGGATGTCCCTATTATCAGAGAAATGTTGGAGAGTATGGTAAGACATCCCTATTTTCATCGGAGAAATGTTGGGATGTGCCTATTATCAGAAAGATGAGATGTTGGAGGGTATGGTATAGTTGTATAGATGAGGATCAGTGACCCTCTATCTGGTCACTAGGGTCCTACAGCCCTCCCACCTCCTTCCCAATGCTAGGGTGGTGTTGACTAAGCTTTGTGAAGGAAGAGAGAGGACTCTAGGACCCCAGGACTCCAACAGAGTCTTTGTGTCTCCTTCCCAAAGCCCAGGGCCTTGCTTACCCAGCTTGGGAAAGGAAGCATGAGGAACGTTGTTGAGGGCCACCATAAATGGCCTCAAGGGCCGCATGTGGCCCTTGGGATGGACCACCTTGCTCTAACCACTGTACCAGACTGGCACATCACTACATCCAGTATGTTAAATTAGCAAGAATTGCTTGAGTTAATATGATGGGAGGTAAGACAACATACTTATTTCAGTAACGATTCCTAGATGCCAAATCACAAAGAGATGATGGTATCATCATCATCTTGACCACTTCAGGCATTTGCTGTCTTAAGACAGTGCTTTACAAAACTCTGATTCCATGAAGTCCTTTCTACATCATTCTTCCCTGCAGGGGACTCTCATATCTGGCACAAAACCCTGAGCATTGCACCGGGTTCTGGGTATGGTTGTAGGCAATAGTTCACATGGGACACCAGCCAAACCAGTGGTGGGCTGATAATACACCCTCAAACACTCACCCTGCAGCTTCATGTTGCGGAAGAAGACCAGTAGTGACGGGAAGTTGTCCTTTCGGGAGATTTGTTTACTATTACAGGTTTTCAGCTTGCAAGAATCCGTGGTTTCCCACACCAGTTTGAAAAACACTACCTTGTTTGAAATTACACACATTCTGCCTTTCCTGGTAAAGCTTTTGTGCAATCCTTCCTTCCTGACTTCAACACCAGTTACTTCATTTGCTTCTGATTTATTAGTGGCTGCCCTTCTGGGAGCACAGGTAAAAGGCAAAGGAGCCCTGGACGGTGAAGTCCAGTCAAAGGCGACTATGGAGGTGAGGGCCTAAGGCACGCCCCCGAGCGATGACCCCGGGGGAGTTCCTAGTTGATGTACATCAGCAGGGCTCCCCCTACTGGTGGTTAACCCTTCCCGGACTTCAAGCGAACAGGCTGAAGCTGGATAGTTGGTTAGGACCAATGCCTAAGCCAATACCGCTCATCACCTGTAACCAATAAAGTTGTGGCCATATTTAGCCCATTAACCTTAAATATCTGTGTCATGTGTCTTTATTTCCACTGGGGGGAGGCGGGAACTCGCCACGCAAGGGCATATTCCCTGACGTAACTGGTGTGTGTGTGTATAGGGGCATTTGTCTCGTGTAAGCATGATAACAGCAATCTGAAGGACTTTAGTTAGAAATTGCCAACTGTCTCTTCTCTTGTTTCCAACTCTGTCCTGTTTTCAAACTGTTCCTTCGCTTATCAGTGATATGTGTCGTCTTCTGAAGGTTGGGTTAGAGGCCTTCCGGAAAAAATATATCCCAATATCCTCCACTCCCTATAAGGACTATTCAGGATCTAGTCCCTGCCCACACATTCACAATTTGCAAAAGACTGGCAAATAGTTCAGTTGGCAAATAGTTCAGTAAGAGATTTTATAAGCAACATTGTGCCTAGGTGAAGGGCACACGATGAACCTGACCATTCTCTGTGGCTCTCTGTGCTACAAGGGCCAATTCAGAATTCCTGCAAATACACTGCAGAACATGAGTCAAAGAATGTGGATGTATTGCAAGAATGGGTAAAAGTAATGTTTCTTTGTGACAGTATTCACAGTGGTGGAGTACCTCGCCTCTCTCTTTTTGCTGCCTATTACACTTTTATCAAAATATGAGTCCCGGCACCTCATTTTAACCCTTGAAAAAGAGCACCGAGTAAAAGGATGCTTTCTCCTTTTAATTTTCAACTCAGCATCAAGTCTGAAAGTCATCTTCTTCCACACACAATTTCCCCCTTTGTTTTCATCTTTGGGGCTCTCAAGTTTTCAGTCGGAGGTTTTTGTCTTAAGAGGGAGGGATAGGGCCAAAGGATAAATGTAGAGGCTGTAAAAGTGGCAGCTATTTGCTATATAAGGGATGTGGGTGGCGCTGTGGGTTAAACCACAGAGCCTAGGGCTTGCCGATCAGAAGGTCGGCAGTTCGAATCCCCGCGGCGGGGTGAGCTCCCATTGCTCGGTCCCTGCTCCTGCCAGCCTAGCAGTTCGAAAGCACGTCAAAGTGCAAGTAGATAAATAGGTACTGCTCCGGCGGGAAGGTAAATGTCCCCGTGTGCTGCTCTGGTTCACCAGAAGCGGCTTAGTCATGCTGGTTACATGAAGCTGTACGTCAGCTCCCTCGGCTAATAAAGCGAGATGAGCACCGCAACCCCAGAGTCGGTCACGACTGGACCTAATGGTCAGGGGTCCCTTTACCTTTACTATTTGCTATATACAATTACTTTGTTTGCTTAAGATATTATTCTACCCTGCCTTAGTTGAGGAATTTTTGAGGTAGCTTTTGAGAAGCAAAATGTAAGACAATAATAAATATCCACACAAATCTGAAAAACAGTGCTGAACAGCAAATAAAGGTCCAGATTCAACTACCTGGTTCTGTTATTGGACTCTTGCTAGCACAACAGGGGCTTCCTCCTTCCACCTCTATGCACCCCCACAGCTCCCTCAAATGCCAGGACAGCATGCAGGGGAAGGAAAGGGGGGCGTTGTTCCATTGGGCACTGAATTCCACCCCCTCCCCACCCAAAAAAATCTGCTAAGACTCAGAAATAAGTCTCATTGAACTGAAAGGGTCTTACTTCCATCTAAGTGTGTATAAGATTGAAATCTAAAAAACAGCAGGCAATGAAACACTGAATAAAAATGCCTGGGCAAATAAAATGTACCTGACACATGACCTTCGTAATCAAAGTTCTTGGATGTAAGGACTGTGTTCTATAATCGTGGTGCCACCACAGAAAATCTGTGCATATTAACAACGAATAACAGAGCAAGAGAGATGAGGAACAGGACTGTCTAATAATGTGATATTTCCTGACACTGACATCGTGGCTAAGTGGAAGTGTTTGTGGTAATTGCAAAAACTGGGCTATATTTGATATTTGTGTGGCGGGGGAATGGGTGTTTTGCATCAATGCAAAGCTGCTGTCCTTGCTGCAAATATTTTTCTGTTGTTCCAGAGTGTATGCACAGACAAGAATGTGGGCAATGGAGGCAGACCGACTGCGTAACAAATGATAACATGGATTAAAGAGTAAGCAATCATCCAGTGATCTTCTGGCAGACTGTGCGAGAGCTTTCCCGTTACTGCTTACTACATTTTTCTGCAATAGATTTATAAGTTATACAAAGCTGATTTTTTTTGAGGGTGGCATTCAACTACATTTTACCCAGAGTAGACCCTTAACATTAATGGCCATGGCTAAATTAGGCCCATTAATTTAAATGGTGCTCGTCTGAGTAAAAAATTATTGGCATGCCACCCTTAAGAGTCCAACTGGATGTGACATGGGAAATTCATAATCAGGAACTCCTGCACTATTCATTAAGTAAAATGTAGCCATCAGGCAGGGTTGGCAAAGCAAAGGTT